AAGTTAGGGAATTTTCGCAGCCAGACAAACACAAAAACGATTTTAGAATTCATTTTGGCATCATCGTGTTGCCAAACCCACCTGTTCACTGATTCAGAAAGTGTCCACAAGGCCATCAAAATGATTCTCTTGGGGCATTTTATATAGGTTGAGAGAGACAACTTTTCATTCGGACAAATAAATCATTCTCACTATTTTGAGCACTTTGTGAAATGGCAAAACAAGCTACCGTGTACTTTCGCGCGAAGGACGCGCAACTGAAAGCGGCACTTCTGAAAACAAAAGACCTTCGGCCCGTGTTTCCATTCACCTTACAAAGAGGGCAATGGTTGTTAAAATTGTGACCTGCAATAAAAATGTCATATCTGTCTGGGTTTAGAAGAGAAACTTTGAGCGGAGCAGGGATGATGATAATAATCTTAAGATGAAAATAGGGAAATCCACGGAAATACGAACTTTATTGTCTGCATCAAATAAAAACAATCAACTGGAAATAACCAATGATTTGCATTCATGTCACGGTCGGGAGGAAATGAGAGTTGAAAATACCTCAGTGAGGGTTCAAAGAAATGTATCTAGAGGTGAACAGCACTCTTGTATAATAAAGGGCATTTGGGAAGGGCAGATGTGACATTTGGTTCGTTTGCGGGAGGGCGCTCTTCAGTCCTCCAGCACCAACCGTTTCAGACCATCACCCAAAGGAACATTTTTGATGATCGCAACGAGTAAGCGACGGCGACGGCGACAGCAACGCTAGGGCGACGCGTCGCTGTCGCCGTCGCCTCTTCAGTAAGCGACGCAATGGGTCGTCTTTGGAATATATATTATGATAAGCGCAGGTTCGGCAATTATTTCTATCAGTAAAAACCAAGACTGGGTCTTGAGATTCGTCTCGCTACACACGGCGCTAGGATCTATGGTGTCTAGCCTGGCCTGCAATGGTCTAAAGTACTTTACTGTGTACTAGTTCTACTAATACACGTCATGGAACCTCAAATTGAAGCTTTTTCAGAACTAAACAGCTATATTTGTAAAATCTGCCATTTTTCTTTCAAACCACCAATTTTACAGAAATCTGCTAGAAAAGTGCTGAAAAAATCGCTCTGCTAAATTTTCTGTCAAACTGGTTTTTCCCCGAAAAATTCTGTCAAATTTAGCCAAAATTCGGCTAAAACGGTCACCCTGCCACAAAGCCAGGTGCCGAATTTGGGAGAGAGAGAGCTTCACCTGACATTTCCGCAAACAATGCTGGGGGCAGCATGGAGGGCAGTCAGGCCTGAGGAAGCACCCGAGAGGGAAAAATACATCTTCTCCTGCTTGCCCTGAAAACAAGCCTTTTAAACATTGTGAACACATCTCCGTGGGGATTATTTACACAACCCTTCGGCCACGTAGTATCCCCGCAGTGAGGACACAGGGTGCTAGACCACAATGCTAGATTCACAATGCATCTTCATCACTTAATCCCTTGAAGGAGAAAGTTAAGACCCTTTCACAAAAACAAAATACCATCTTGTCAAAGGAGGACAAAACTGACAATCAAGAATGTCAGTTTTTAAAAATTTGATCCTGATGTCGCCCACGGCAGACTGAATCAACTTATTTGCCGGTTGTTGAACTCTCGGTAAAGCCACGCCTGATAAGACGCAAAACACTCATCACAAGCAGGAAAAAAGATGCCAAATCTTTAAGATAAGTATTCCCCGTGCTATTTTCGTCGAGTTTCACCTCGAAACAATTTATTTTTTAAATTGCTATTTTCCTAGCGATCAAAATTATTCACTTTCGAGTGAGACATTGAGCCAACAAACACCGACGTTTATAGTCATTACATTATTTCCTCGCAAAATTCGAATTCATTGGCCGCAATAATTCGGCTCTCGCAGGGCGGGTTATTTATGCACAAAAGGAAAGCCCATTTTCAGAGGGTTGCTGACGCCGAAATTAGGAGTTAAGTAGTTTTTTCGTTAACACAAATTACATACAAACTGAAATCATTTTTAGGAGAAACAAATAGGAGAAAAAAATATCAAGTTTTAAAAGAACATTGTGTGTACATCTTTAAATGTGGGTTTTAACAAATCATAAATCTTATTTATCAGCGGTGTCAAGACAGGTAGGCCTAAAAGGAAAACCAATCCGCCACATCGTTAATTAGAACACTAAATTCATGGGTGTGGGTGGGGCTCGTCAATATTATGGCAAAATGATATAGACTTCACTGCAACCTTCAAGTAGGGCCTAAGCAGGGCCTAAGTCTCGTACAGCCGAGTTGTGACAGTGCTCCTCAGTTTCTCAAGTCTATAGTGAACCTGTCGGCCAATCATAGTGGTCACGTCAAGAAAGGCTCTTTGATTGGCTCTTGCAGATCATGTTCCGTCGTCCAGTTGGCTTTACCCTCATATCAGCTGAAGCAAACTATAATGGCTGAGTAGGTCAATTTCCCGCACTGACTCTGAACCCGCGACTCTCTCCCCCGGAATTCATGCCGCTTACTCACTTCTTTCACACTAAGAGATTCGTAAATTTGGCATTAGTGAAGTGACCTCATAGCCTGCGTTCTTTACGAATTTTCGGAGATCAACGAATGCCAGAAAACGAGTCTGCAATAACTTGATGACTACAGCTATATATGGGATTGGGATCTGCCTTTTCTCGAAGAAGGGCACTCTGTGGAAGTGGAATCTTGAAAGAAATCCAACTTTCCCACCAATCCATGAGTGGGTTAAATGCAACAAAGCTTACCCACTCAAAATAGCGCCCTCCTATTGTGTAGGTAGCGCCAGTATCACAACTCCAGCAGTATACCACTTATGATAATTTATGCTTACGTCACCACAAGTCAGGCACAAGTCAGAGCGGGAGGTTTCGCATCGAATGATCGGTCAACTTTCGAAATGTAACTCGTGTTTGAGCAGAGCCAGCTGTGACATGTCGTTCTTCCCATTCCAAACTAACTAGTGCAAACAATTACAATAGCATTCGGTTGAACCACGGAGGTAGAATTACATGTACTTGGGCCAATTGATCTGTAACTTTGTCAAGGTTAGCGTGCTCGGCGGATACTATTTTACACAGTGTCGGCATTTTAGTCGATTACAACGTGCGCTTAAAAAAAATAATACGAATAGATATTAAGGGGAGCCTTCGTTTTTGAAATGACCAATGTTAGATTAACCGGCTTGGGCAGATGATTCGGGTCCATGCATATTCTTCCATGATTTATTATTACATTTAGCATTAAAAAAAGTAGGTATGATTACCGTGAACGCTTGCATTAATTGTTATTTAGTTTGTTTATTTTTACTCTTTCTTTTGACACAACCATAGAGAAAGGACATACCATATTTACATAAACCTTGTTAATATTCTTTAAAAAAAGCTATTGAATAAAGAATTTATTTTGAATTAATGGATTTGAATCTGTATCAAAATCTTATTTCTGTCGTTGAAAAAAATCTTCGCGGTTTTCAACTAAGTTACTTCCGTGTGCATCCGTGGACTGCGTAACGCCATAACCACAGAAATCCTTGGAGATGCTTATTATGATTTATCCTTTACCATAGTGTATGGGATGGTTGACCAGCATGTCTCAAGATATTTTTCGCAGGGAATAATCGTGAAGCTGACACTTTCCCTGCATGCAGAAAAGGGTGTGTGTAATGATTTTTGTGCCAAAGAGGGTTGGTGGTTTTACCAAGAAAATTACCATACTTTTTTTTAATCGAGGAAAACCATATGGGCCCACCATGCAAGCTTAAAGTTAAACGGGGCCTTAGGAGAAGCGCATATGGTTGCAAACAACATGGCGAATCGCCCAAATTTTGATGTTTGCATTAGGCCCAATTTATAAAACCTCTAAGCGGCATTAGATCACAAGCAACACCATGAGCTGACGAGTGGATCAAGTTTTATCGTTATTCCTTTTTTTTTTAGTACATGTATATTATTTTGTCTTACAAAATTTCAAATTGTGTTTTGTGCTTTAACGGAAAAATATTGGGCCGGTTTTGTTGTTGCTTTTGCCAGTGCCTCCTTCTTTTTTTTACTTGTCAACATCACCGAACAAATTTCGATTTGATTTAATTAATTCGAAACAATGATGATAAAGATGCTCTGTGTTTTAACCATTGATCTCCATTTTACATTGATCTCCATTAGTAAGACTTAAATCAATGGTTTTAACCCATGCAGCTCTAAAACAAGTAGATATAGTACCGGACCGATATTGGAGGAGGAGGGGGTATCGAAGGTCGCGTGGGCCGAGTCGTAACATATAATGAAAAGTTGATATATGCAAACGGACAAAAGCTCAAATACGCGGGGTGCTGCATACACCCACAACAGAAAACACATTACACAATAGGCACGTGCATTTATATACAATGTATATAATACGCGCGCGCGCGTGTGTGGGTGGCTAAACTGTGGGCTAACCATGGGCTAACTAATCAAAACACTGACGGGCTATATTTTTTTCAAGCCAAAATGGTCGTCGGAATTTATTGTCCAATTAGCATGTTTCTTATATCAGCATTTAGAGAATTTTATCAACTTTATGAATGTTGTCACCCCAAGGTTGTTGAACTTTTCGTTTTGACGCTGTGGTAAAAAACACAAGGACATGCGTGCCAAAAAACTAGTTTACGCTTCGTGATGTGCACTATTGAATAGGATTACAAAGCGTGGATGTGTCTTTTCAAACTAAAATGTGATGTTACACCCGGTACAATTACGTACGGAACCCTTGGCTTGACATGTATGGGTGACCGTGCTGGTGGGCCTGCTAAAGAAGGACATGCACACGACGATCACGCGCGGACCGACGATGTACATGTACATGTACATGTACATGTACAGAATTCATAAGTTTGATGACGCTGTACTGTTAATTCACGGCATAAATTATGATAAGTGGTACTGCTGGAGTTGTGATACTGGCGCTACCTATTGTGTACACCAAAGTATACCAAAATATACATCTGGCTCGTGGTGGCGCTATTTATTTCCCACTGGTTCACCAACTTATGTGAGTGGAAATGTAATGGGCGGTGTTCGAAGTGGGTACCAGTCGAAAGTGTGTCATTCATTCATTGCAGAAATCTCTCTCAAGCCGGGCGTTTCCGCATTGTGAGGAAGTCTAAACATGGTAAGAGAATTGTGCGAAATTTCTAATTTTACTAGGAGGAAAATCCAGGGAGGGGGTATTGGAGGGTTAAATGACATTTGGGAAGACATCCCCATTACATAAGGTCGCGTTGCTTGGTTGTGTAACGTGAGGTTTTTCAGTTAACATGGGTGGTTCCATTTTCAGAAGACTGTGCAGGAGAACAACTTCCTACACAGTCGAGTCGAAGTTACATGATTGATTGATAACACAAATGTATGGGCCGGACTGCTGTACGTGCCACTGAATTAATAGAAAATGGCTTTGTTCTACTTTTCCAGGGATTGCGAATAGATGAGGAGAGAAATGTTGGGATTGGTTCGGGTCTACATGGTCATGATGGTCTAGCATGTCTAGTGCCCAATTCGGAAAGAATTCCATATAGCCTAAATTGTATACGAACGCCACTTGACACCCTGTGTACAAATCCTATGAGACTGTTCTGAAAAATTCTAAGCATTTTCCAACTAAATGCTTCAATATTTTCCCTACTAAATTTCACTTTTTAGGACATGTTATCCCTCTCTGATGGTTGATGAGTCATTGCAGGGAAAAACTAGTGGCATACATATGTGGAATTCTTTCCCCCAATTCATTGCGTTGGGGCAATTTCCAGTACAAAACTACATAGGTTATGCACTCCGTACCGAATCATAATGACTGCTTTGCTAGACCTAGCCCCATAAATGTGGCCAATTTACTGGACTACCTCCGTAAATACAGGCCACACTTGGACCCCATTCAAAATAGCTTAACTTAATTTTGTTCACATTCAGACTTTGCTTTTAGTTTATTTATGCTTTGGAAGCACACTCCCCGGAGTGCCCACTCACCTTCAGTTACTAGCATTGAAAAACAAATATCTTAGAGGTCTACCTTTCGTGTAATTTTCACACAGCTTTGGAGGCTTGTCTGTACACATTTGAGTGTAACTCAATCGGAAAGATTCCCATATCTGGCCATCACTAATTCCTCCCTTCAGTGACCTATCAGCCACCAGAAAAAGATAAGGCCAAAAAAAATGAATGCCATGTAATCGGAAGCAGGACTATTTTTTTTTTTTTTTGGCCTAATATGTCATAAAAAGTCAAAATTAGCAGGGAAAATATCCAAGTATTTACTGAGAAAACACTGAGAAATTTTCAGACCAGTCTCATACGGTTTGTCGCAGGGTGACAAGTGATGGCCAGATATGGGAATCTTTCCCTAAATCCCAACGGCAACATGGCAATGGTCACACGTAATGCGTGCTGGATCGTTAGCTGTCAGTCACGCGCGCGGCGCGTGGCCGGTGTCGTATTAAAATCAAATGCCATGAAAATTACACTCCTTTTCCCTTTTATTGGTTGTACCTTCTCACTTGACCGGTTAGGCGTGCGCAACACTTCACCCACAGACATATTTACTTTTTTCTAAACCAAGCATCTTTGTACTTTTGGACACAAAGAATAGGTAAACAAAATTTCAGCTTCCTCCATCAGGTAAAAATATGAAAAAAATTTGTTGTAATTTGTTTCGCTATGGCAGCTGAAGTTCATACCCTGGATTGTCAGTCGTAATGCAATGAAGACGTCGTCCAGCGCAGCCTGGGCCCGCTAGGGTGGTTTATAACAACACATATTGAAGAGACAGGGTACCATGCATAAGGCCAAAAAAAAAAGTCTCCAGTTTCTGGTATGCGCGCGTGTCGCCGTAACCATGCACGTTGGCAAAATTAAAAAGTTTTTTTTTCAATTTAAGATGATGTCTCAAAAACGCCAAACTCACTGGTCTGACTGGAATCCTGCTGCTGCACAATTTTAACGTGTTTCTAGATGGGGTTACTATCGAGTATAAGCTTTATGTGGCCTCTCTGGGCTCCCATACATTATTGCACTAATTTTGTCGGGCGCCATTAGCAGTCATCAGCCGACATTTGACGGGGAAAAAAGTAAAAAAAAAAAAAAAACCTGCATCGCCGCACCACTTTTGGGGAAAGCTTCATACCAGAAACCGGAGACTTTTTTTTTTGGCCTAAGCTAAAATATGGCCACTGAACATGAACACAAAATAGTTTGGAAATGTTTTCCCGTGGAAGTACCAAAAAGCTAACAATTTCCATGCTACATCACTCTTTGTTAAGCTGTCGATTAAAACTTTTATTAAGCAAGGCAAGACTCCAGATAAATATGGCTCAAATACTGGACTTCCTCTGTATTGCGAGCCACACAGCGGTGATAGCAATGTATGAGGAAAAGTAGTGTTCAAGGAAATCGAAATCAGGACTGTTTTTTTTTCCACTTGATATGCACAATGGAAGACACGTACGCAGTTAATAGCCAAGAAAAATTGTCATTTTCGGACGAAAGTTGCAGAGAATTGGTCAATTATTATTCAGTCGGGGTTTGGAAAGTTGGTAGCCCATGAGCTTGCACCATTTCTCTTGTTTCACAAATTTGTGAAATTCTTTAAATTAATTTTTGTATGGTTGGTTCAGTTTTTAGCAATAAAACTGAAACCAGTGATGATATTTAGACCAACTCTGAAAACCCCAAATTGGTGTATTATGTACTTTGTACCCCATTCTGCTTGAAATTCACACAAATTGGCCTACATTTGTATCTGTAATCATCCACAAATCCCCTAACAATGCCCTTCCAAGGCATTTAATGCCTGGAAATTACTCTTGCTTGATTGCTTCCTTTGTAGCATACATGTACATTTAGCACGCAATCAGATCATAATCATAATCTTTCACAAATATTATGAGAAGGGTTCTGCTGGATAAACATAGTTTGTGGTGCATTTAATTTCTTACACATGTACATGTACATTAATTAACAACAAAAATTACCTCCAAAATTGTTTTCATAACCTACATACATGCTGTACACATTGCCACAAATGTTTATACAAGTCTGTCCATCGTACGGACATGTACTTCCTGTTAGTGTAGAAAAGGATGTGCTATTGTAGTGCTATGTAAAAATACTAATGAATAGAATTGTTGTACAATAGCAAGGATCTATAGTAAGTACATGCATCATTGTGTCTGTAGGTAATCCATTCAGTATTGCATTCATTGCTTGATCTCATTAAAACCCTAACCCCCTTGAGTGATTAAGTGCATGTAGGAACCTAGTCCAAAAATTTTGGACTCTCAATACTGTGTATGAGAGTCCCAAAACTTAAGGTATTGATAACATGCAAAAACAAGAAAATAGACTAGCAGTGGCACCTAAAACAACCAGTCCAACGCAGCTTCAGTACTGCATCAATCAACCATGCCAACAGAATTTAAGAAACGTGGCATGACGCGGGAACTAGTCTCAATTTACTACACATTTCTCCATAGTCAAGCCACCAGACTATTGAGACTGAATGAAGAGGTTAGTCTTTTCAAACAGTTGGACCATGGTTGGACATGTACCAGTCTAGTATTTAGCCCCATTTTGAAATCACTTGACTTCCCTCTCATGTGCAAAATATTGAAGAAAAGTCTCCTTTAAAAATTGAATTTGGTCTGCAAACTTGGTTGGTGAAATACTGAGGACATTTTCTTTGCTCCAGTGGAATTCTTGGAGAAATTTGCTGGCTAAACTGTGAGTAAAGTGGGCCTGATTTAGTTTTGCACGTTTCAGAGCACTCCAGAGCCCTGTCTGGTAGGAACCTTCCCCAAACTGTTGGACTCTGATTATGGCGGTATGCCTTAACCCCATGTAAGGCATAATCAGTTCACCAGTGCAGTACTCACTCTGACAGATTCCAACAAACCCTTGTGTTAGAGTTTGACTGGAGATGATTGTTAAGGTTAAAGTGATTTATTCAACATCGGAAGTAAAAAAAGGACATTAATCAAGCCATAATAGAAATCATCATTCCCATGGTTTATTTAATTTTGAAATAAAAAGATATTTTTTTGTGACTGAACTTAATAGTCAGAATATCTAAACATTTGAATTACATGTAGTATAAGTAGTTGGTTAGGGAGACCACTACAGAGGCACAATAAAAGAAAACCACATTAAAAAAAAAAAAAACTACTCTTTTAATAGAAAAGTTATAACAATGTATTCCAATTCCTAGAGGTACATGTTGCCAGTCATCTAGTTTCCTTTTGATATGTAATTCATTGTTTACCATTCCTTCCTGTTTTTTGGGCCCGAGACCAGGCCCCTGACCAGGCCCCGTCCCCTTCCTCAGTATTTAGGCAAAATGTATTCATTTTCAGTAAATTATTTTCTTTAGTGAAATGGAGAAAGAGGTCATCGTGTTTAGGTGTAAATGTAATAAGGAAATAAATGTGTGTTCGGGAGGTATTATAACACTCTGTTTACGACCAGTGTGAGTCTGGATGGGTAATTATCGCCCATCCAGACTCCCACCGGTCTTAAACAGAGTGTTTAATACCGACCAAACACATATTTATTCCCATTCATGAATACCTTTTCGGCCAAAATAAAAATCTTTTCAGTCCTAAAATCAAAACATGTCAAAAACTAGACGTTGCCAACCATTTTGTTTAACAATTTTACTTCATGCTTTATGAAACACCCTTCTGACTATAATATGGAATGCCCCTCCACAACTCATTACCTTATAAGGACATTTGCGTGCGCGTCGTACGCGATGTCGTGCAAAACGCAGCTAGGCTGGTGTAGTGTGAATTTCGGACCATGAAATACTGATTCACTGGTATTACATTGCGCATGCATACGTGAGGAATGTGAACGTTCAACCAATGAAACGTTAAAAGGCACCGGATTTCATGGGAGTCCAAATTTCATGTGGCACTGGAAAAGTGTTTAAGACCAGCTAGCCATGTCTTTATCATCCGTTTAAGACCGGCCACGTGACGGGCTCTCGACCAATAGGAATGGCTAAACTGTCTGAGGTATTTATAAATACCTGTTAATGGCACCTTTGGGAGACATTCTGTCGTCATTAATTTATACCTTAGGGACACACCGGACATTAAGGAGACCTTTCAATGCCTCCCTTACATGTATGTCACAGCTGCTTTTTAGAGGCAAAATGTTATCGTTGCAAATAAGCTAGATCGATGGCTCGTGGTCCAAAACATAAATAGACTGAAATTTGTGGGGGTCGGATAAGGTAAAATTGGGGTTACGTGACATTAAAACATTTTGTGCACAAGTCTATGGGAATGTCTCCCAAATGACCCATTTCCCGTCATTGTAATATGTACTGCAATATTTTCAAATAAACAGAAGCTTTGCATTGAAATTCAAAGTAGAAATAGTAGGGAATAGGATTATGTGACACCAAAGAAGTCATGGGCCAGATCAGAGTATTTAAATCAGATCAGAGTTTCTGAACAAACTATTTAAAAATCTATTCTTGTTTTTGTTTTTCTTTGCTCCAGGCTGCGACATTGAGGCCCTACCTACAGGCAGTAAGGGCAACCTTACAAGCATCCATGTGCCTTGAAAACTTCTCCTCACAGGTCGTAGAAAGACACAACAAACCGGAGGTGGAAGTCAGGTGAGTGCAGTGGGAGCACCCAGGAGTCTCCAAAGGGAGGCGGCTTGGGTGGTGCAGTCCAAGATGCAAAATTAGACCAAAGGCCCGAAGCAGAGAATCAAATTTGCAAAACAGAGTGATTCTGAAGACATTATTCAGGGAACTTAACCCTTAACCCCTAAGTGTCTTTTAACTGGACCAAGTCCACCAAAATCCATCATCGCTGACCCATAATACTTTAGTACTTAATCCGCTGAAATTGACCACAAGACCACCACTGCTATAGGTGGGTTTAGATGGACTTGGTGCAGATAGCTTGCCTACCCAAATCCCAAAATGGGGATGTATTTTGATGGAGTTGGACAAGTTAGGGTTAAGGAAATTTGGATCTTTTTCCATCACGTAAAACTATTAAAATTGGAAGGGGGAGGAGTCACTCTTCCCCCCCCCCCCCCCCCCCCCCCCCCACTGTCTGCCCCTGGAGTCTGTAAGGAACATACATGTATGATATTATGCAGAAAAACTAAAAGATAAAACAATTGAGATGTACATCTGATATTCCGTGCTCTATTGATGAAAAAAAGTTTATGAAGACATTTTGAGCCGAAAACTATACACGTATACAAGTATTTGACCTTCCAAAATAGTGTTGTCGTGTGCTGTCGCTATATGCCCCACTGAATTCAGTAGCATCTAGTGATAGCGAAGTCTGAAACATGCTGAATCCAACAGAATCCATCAACTACATGTGGAATAAAAGGGGTTATGTTCAAAGGTTAACCCTCCTAGTCTTCTGTACTTCACTACCCTTCAAGTTTTGCAAAACCACACTTGCCCACAGAGTTAGCACCCACACTTCAAATTCCTTTGGAGTATGGATGACACTTCAAATCTCTGCACAACTCTTTTGTATGGTCAAGCTCAGTGCAAGCAGGCAGACTTGGTCGTACATTGTACTTCACTGCTCTTGTACAGTGCTGTTTTTGTGTGCAGTGACTCTCTGTGTGACACAGTTACTTTAACACTTCATATTCCTTCACCTGAGACTGACCTGCAGGATTTTGAAGGGTGTTACATATTGCTCTGAATGTTGACTTCCTGCTAGGAGAGTGAAGGTAGTGTACCTTTAACTCTCTGATTGACGCTATTTGATCATTTCTACAGGAGCGGGAAGGAGCTTCTCCTCATACCGGTAGTGGTCAGCCGAAACGAGAAAGAGAGAGTTCTTATAGAGGGATCCATCAACTCAATCAGAATAAGCATTGGCATCAAACAAGTAAGTCAAAGCAAAGGCCTTTCTAAACTATTGCCCTATTTGAAAACAACTTAATTTAAAGGCATATAGGATCATTTGCATTTATCCCAAAAGTAACCTACCAAATTATTATGGAAAAGCATACTTGGGTTAAAGATTGTACTGGTACTAAACACGCCGTGAACTTATTCCATCTGGCTTGCTGTCATTTAGAAGAAATCAAGACGTGTAGGTGGTATCCAGTGATCGGTCAATTGACTGATTTTTGGAAACAAAGAGTGCTGCCAACAAAGTTGGGTTTTTGTGACCAAAATGTTTTTCACTGTTTTCTTGAAAAGTGTAATATCCACTGAGCTGAAACTTCAACAGGAGTAGGTTTTGTATATTCTTCTTTGGATTTTGAGCTGTGTTATTAGAAATGAACAAAATGCATGAACAGCAATAGATTTTACATTGACCAGAATACTTAAATCATGGATTTTCTCTCTTTCTCTTTTTTAAGGCTGATGAAATTGAGAAGATCCTATGTCACAAGTTCATGCGCTTCATGATGCTGAGGGCAGAGAACTTCTTCATCCTCAGACGAAAGCCGGTCGAGGTATGCACACAAATTTCATCCGAATTTTGTTTGGTAAAAAATTTGATTTGATTTGTATAGTTTTGGACTTGATTTTTATAGCCTTTTCTTAGTGACACGTTTTACATCACAAATGCATTAGATGTGTATTTTTGTTGCTTTTTTGGGCCCATAAGTTTACAGCAAATGTATGATTTTTTTTCACCAGACAGAATTCTTTAAAAAAAATACTCACAGAGTGTTATAAACTCAATATAAAGAAATCTGAAAACTTGATTTGTCTAACCCAACTGTCATTTTCTTTTTTATTCAAATTTGCAATTTTAGCTGCAAGATAAGAGAAATCACAGCTGGGAATTCCAGCCTCAAGTGTAATGTCTGTGTCGGAGCCAGTTAATCATGATATCTAATTAATGATTCAGAGAAATGATCCAAAAAATCCAGGTCGGTAATCTCACTGACCATTACTAGATGATGGATGTATAAGATTTGAAAAAAAATATATTGTCAAGTTTATTCACTGAGCTCTTAAAAGTTAAAAGCCCCAAACTTGTGAGGAAAACCTGAATTCTGTAACATTTCTGGATACTTCTCATTCTGATCTCGGTCTCATGCTTGGTTTATCTTTTTCCCCCTGCAGGGCTACGACATCAGCTTCCTCATCACCAACTTCCACACAGAGCAGATGTACAAGGACAAGCTAGTAGACTTTGTCATCCAGTTTATGGAGGAAATCGACAAGGAGATTAGCGAGATGAAACTTAGCGTCAACGCCAGGGCCCGTATCGTCGCTCAGGAGTTCCTGAAAAATGTAAGCTTGCGTCAAAAGTTCTTTTTTCCTAACTTGTGTGCAAATATCTTGCCTGTCAAGTCCTTGTATTTAAAGATTATAGTCCATCATTTGTAATTTGTGCGTTTTGAATTGTTTTGAATTGCAGCTATACGCGATGTTGCGCACTGATCCGACGAATTATAGCAACCGCGCGCGCCTGTGCGTTGTGCCAATGCTTGCGCGTGCTGCGCCGAATAACAAAACTAACTACTAATTTAAATTTTCCTACAGTGCTTCTTAAGATGCACCGTTGGAAAGGCCTTCTTTCGTTGATTACTTCAAAATGATAGCTTGCCAGAAAGAATAATTTCACAGGGAGTTTAGTCCATTTACTATCTTTCAACCAAGTCTGTTTTTCAACAATAATACGCCAGTTACTTTTTCGGATGGCTGCAAATGATGGACTATAGCTTTAATACTACCCTCCAACATACCTTGTCCAGAAAACCCCCAATTTGGGCTGAATTTCATGGCAGTGCTTACCATAAGGAAAGAATGAGGGGGGAAAGCAGTATTCTGCAACCACTTTGGTAGTTGTGCGCAAAGTCTGTTTAGTCTATGCAGTATCCCCTTACACAGCAATGGTCTATGATATACAAGCAGATTCGTAATTAAATGCAAAACAAGACTGTGTCTTGATCTCGCGATTCTGACTATTCAGTGGGCGCCTTTTATATCGGGTCTCCGGTTACCATTATTGTATTACAAAATCATGGTGTCCAAATTGACCAATCAACAGCTTAGTCCACATTTCTGATCGAAATTGTGTCACAGTTCTAAAGTCGACTCCGATTGGTTGACATGCTTGGTCGCATAAAATTTGCATTGCTCAGATATATCAGTTGTTCGACTGTGGCTCTGCACACTTGAAAGTCTGTGGGAAGTCTCAAAAAATTTCCTGAAAGTAAAAAGTCATGAAAGTAATAACTTCTTACAAAAATTGGAAATGTTTCTCTGGCTCAATATTTTTTCCAACTTGCAATGACCGACCATCAAAGAGTTGCATTCGACCCCAAAAATATTTGCTAGAAGTAAAAGAAAATTCTGCCTGAATGGTATCTGTGTTTTAGTGGTTCACAAGATATTTTGGCTTGTGCACATAATGTGAATTCGGCAACTGAGGATTCTGTGTTGACAGGGCTGGCACAGAATTCCTGTGCTATCCTGGGCCCAATTTCTTGGCTCTGTTTACCATTAGCGAAAAATCCCTGCTTACTGTAGCAGAAAATGTTGTGCTTACAGTAAGCGCATTTCACAGATAAGCGAGGAATTTTGGCTTCTTCACATGCGTACACCCCGTAACTAAGGATTCTGTGCTTACAGCGTTGAGCACAGAGTTTTTCTGCTAGCTTGGTCGACGTGGCTGATCATAAGCGCGGAATTCTGTGGTAAGCAAAGCTAAGAAATTGGGCCGGGTAAGCTCAGAATACTTAATTCCTAAACTTGTTATTAAATGCAGAGATACAATCCCTCAGCTGCAGTTGCCTGACTCCAGGTGGTTTTTTGGTCAAATTGTAAATAACATGTTGGCACCAAACATGTGCGTACATGTATACCTCAAATTTCAGGCCAAAAGGTCAGGAGTCTACTTAAATCCCTTTAAATGGAAATTCATGTGCTGAAATATGACATTGGCTTGTTTTTCTCTTTTGTTCTTTCTCTCCAGTTTTAAATAATGTAGATGCAGCTCGATGCAAACTAATAAAGGGGTGGGCTAAGGATGCGATCACCATCAAGAGTTTGTAGCATCCACACATCTTATCAGAGGAGAAATACGGCTTTCTAGAAGGTATAGCTTCACCGGCCCTAATTCCTCCCATATCCTTCAAAATCCGCCGGGAAGTATCAACCCTCTTACTAAGGCTCCTCACGGGAAGTCAATATTCAGAGAAATATGTAAAACCCTTCAAAACCCTGCAGGTCAGTTTCAGGTGAAGGGATATGAAGTGTTAAATTAACTGTGTTACACAGAGAGTCACTGCACCAAAAACACCCACATTAGTGTGGAGAGCAGTGAAGCGTGACTGAATCTGCCTGCTTGGCCTGAGCTAAATCTCAAAAAAGAATAAGCCATTTGCGAGTTAAATTTGAATAAAATCTGGAACGCTGACTTAATCCAATGCTTTGCACATTTTAACTTTGCATTCTCCCGACCAAAGAGACTGTTGCTATATCATGTAATTCAGGGCAAGCCTTATGCTAGCAACCCCCAGCTCCGGCATGGTCTGGTGTCTTTGTGCCATTCTCACCCATTGTGAGCGATGTATTGGTGCTGAGCGTCTCTTATGTAACTATGCAAGAGCTTTCCCCCGAATCATGTGATATACATGTAGCAACAATGTCTTTGGTCTGGAGAATTCAAAGTTAAAATGTGCCAAGCATTCTGAGCAAGTCAGGGTATAGGTCACTTGCAAACGGCTTATTGTGTGCTGGAATTTTGAAGTGTTATCCGTACCCAACAGAAGATTACCTCAACGTATTTTGAAGCGTGGGTGCTAACTCTGTGGTCAAAGGTGGTTTTGCAAAACTTGAAGGGATGTGAATTGTAGAAGGGTTAAGATGATGTTGCAGGATGTGGAAGATAGAGCTCAGGCACTGTTGTTTCCTTGGGGCTTCCTGCTCCTTGGAAGTTAAAGCATAACAAACGTGCTAACTATTTCCTGCACAACGGAGGATTTTGGAGGATTGAGGAAAGTTAGTAGTGAAAAAATGCCTTGGGAGTCGGGGTCATAGGTCATTTTGTACAAAACATGTCCGTCGGTAACTCCCAACTTCTGTCAACTGTAGCATAGGAGTGTCGGGGTTAACACGTGGCCCACACATTTATTTTTTGAAAATTTGTAAACAAAATATGCCGTTCAATCACTTATACAATAGCAGCACTGCAATTGGGAAATAGACAAAAAGATAGAACTATTTGGAATGTAAATGAATTAAAGTTGGATCTGTATTAAACTAGATTCCACATTTCTAATTTTTTTTTTTAATTAATGGATGATGATTGAGCTTTAAATTAAGAGTTGCTAAAACGTATAGAGGACAGTATGTACATGTATTATGGATTGAAAGTCTAAAATCAGTGGCTGTGCAAGATGCACATATATCGATTTGTATGATTGGGCCTTTCTTATTTTAATTAAACTTGTCAATTTCACAAACAGTTGTGTTTTGGATGAAACAATTATATATTGTTCAACCCATTACAGGTATACTGGGTGTTTCAAAATAAAACCTTGCATCCCCGAAAAAAAAGAAGACAATTGTGAACTTGGAACACTGTCATAAAGGTTGCGTGGTCTTTCTCTATCAACACCAGGGTGACCAGATGAAAATTGCAAATTTCTGCTAGATGCATTTCCAAATTCTGCTAGATTCAACTAAAAATCTGCCAACTCACCTATAATTACACAAAATACATTAAAAACAAAAATATTCACACGCAGGTGTTATAAAAGAAAATGCCTAGTTATGGCAAAATGTGTTCTGTTTAGAACATCATGATATACGTACATGTCTGTGAACAAAAAGCTTATCAAATCTTGATACAGCTTGCGCCATACTTATGTAGGTGTGAACATCATATGCGCCATTATGTGGCCTAGCCCAGCTGTTCAAGGGTTTGCTTGAGATAATTGAAGCTTGTTCAGAACAAAACTGCTATATTTTTCTGTTAGGAACACAATTTTTCATAAGTCTGCTAGAAATCTGCTAGATTTTCTGCTATTTTCAATATTTTTTCCAAAAAAATCTGCCAGATCTAGCAGAAAATCTGCTAAAATCGTCATCCTGATTAACCCATTTTTGGCATTCATGGATGAATGAGCTGTACACAGTGTGTTTAGAGCACATCTCACCACAAGTTAGTGCAACAATTGGCAAAGGTTTCTCAGCTTTTGCTGTGAAATCAACAGTGTAGTACTCGAGTCCATCACAAGTCCAGTCAAAAGTAAATCACAAGTCCAGTCAAAAGTAAATCACAAGTCCAGTCAAAAGTAAATCGTAAATCCAGTCACAAGTAAACCACAAGTCCAGTCACAAGTAAATCACAAGTCCAGTCACAAGTAAATCACAAGTCCAGTCACAAGTAAATCACAAGTCCAGTCACAAGTACATCGCAAGTCCAGTCACAAGTAAATCGCAAGTCCAATCACAAGTAAATCGCAAGTCCAGTCACAAGTAAATCGCAAGTCCAGTCACAAGTACATCGCAAGTCCAGTCACAAGTAAATCGCAAGTCCAGTCACAAGTAAATCGCAAGTCCAGTCACAAGTAAATCGCAATTCCAGTCACAAGTAAATCGCAAGTCCAGTCACAAGTAAATCGCAAGTCCAGTCACAAGTAAATCGCAAGTCCAGTCACAAGTAAATCGCAATTCCAGTCACAAGTCCAGTCACAAGTAACAGTTGCGGAACAGTAACAAAGGAATGCCTTTTGTGGCTTGACTTGGGATTTGAGGACTTGTAATTGGATTTGTGAGGACTTACAGGGGCTTGTGATAGACTCGACTAAAACACTGGTGCTGATGCTCAGAATTTTGAAAAATAGAATTAGCTGTTGCAAACTGCTTACCAACCAAAAGGACCTATGGTATAAATGCAAAAAAATAGTTAGTGGTCTGACGTTTCAACCCTAGCAGAGTCTTTCTCGAAGGCTAAAAAGACTCTGAGAAAGACTCTGCTAGGGTCGAAACGTCAGGCCACTAACTATTTTTTTGCTCAGAATTTTAAAATACAAATCCCCTAATTTGTGGGACTCCCATAATTTGCCTTTGCTTCACCCTGTATACTGAGATATTACTGGTACATTTGTAGAATTTCCCACATTATGCATGAAATATGTAATATAAGGGGTCAGAGTTTATTTAAAGGACACCAAGTTTATGCCATATTACCATATCTAACTTGTTAAATTATAAGTTATTGGCCCTTAGCCTCCAGCTTTGGTGAAATGAAAGTCTCCATTTCCAATCAATTGTAACTTTTTTGGATAAATACAGCGGTGATTATAACAGAACTTTTCCAGAAAAATACTTGTCCAAGTCCAACAGCACAGAATAACCCTTGATTTTTGCCCAGTTTGTTCAGCATGTTGTACTAAAAGTAAAATACAGTTTTTACATGTCTATTAGATATGTAATTGCTTTTTTGTTTTTGGTGTGTTTTTTTTCCAAGTTGAAAGCATATACTTTCAGTCATTTATTGTGTTTTATTCTTTATTAGTATCATGAGGACATTTGGGTCTTTGATTCAATTTTCCCTCATGTGAAAATTGATTCTAATTCCAAACATTGAAACAAATAATTTATAAATGGATTGTGAAGTAGTTGTTTTGAGACTCAAAATAGAACTTAATGTCGTACAAGATATTTTTTATTTTATTTATAAACACAGAGGACCAGACTCACTTAAACTTTCGAATATCCCAGCTGTCTTGATCATTTAGAATGCAGACCAAGATACGAACTAAACTATTCGTCTGGATTAACCAGTTCGCGCCAGGATTATTTTGACATTAATCGGACCCAGGCGAAGGATTGTTTTCACGAACCTCGTTGCCAGACGGGTTCAGGCCGTCATCTGCGGGTTGCACACCCTGATATTTCCGGCCTCGCTCGCTGCGAGCGGGGTGCAGACAGATATTTCCGGCCTTGCTCGTTGCGTGTTTATCCATCATCCGTTCCAAATACCGCAAAACCTTTGCGTGTACGCGTCATCCGACATGAACTGGTTAACGACTCTTTCTGTCGCAAGACACCGCTGTAGTTTTTGTCTAGTTGGCTATTTTTGAGCCGATGTTTATAGCCCAGTTCCAAGTGTAGGATTTAATACGAGTGTGGCCAATGAGCCCTTATTATGGGATACTGTAAAAACACATTCCAATGTGGAATCTTTCTGTTGTGTTAATCTCACAATTAAATATTTTTTGAACATGTCTAATCATCTACTATGAATAAAATTGCAAGCTTTTTTGAGATATATTTTCATGTTGTTTCTTTGATAATTTCATTTATACGATGCCTATTATATATCCCCTTCACCTGATTGTTGGGTCATTGATCACGCCTTGACCAATGAATTATTTGTCTCGGCGCACGGCGCAGTCGCAATTCAAAAATAAAAGTTCCATTGCTAGTCACACTACTGGTTGCACTATAACACAGCTCTGATGCCGTACATTCAAAGTACCAGTTTACAAATTACTAATCAGATGACAAGGATTTATTCAGGCGTTGTAAAAAAAATAGTAATGAATCTTTCACATTCGTGCAGTGGAAAGAATAATTGCATGAGGTGTCAGATGGCATGTCTCATTCCACTGGGCGTCACCTCATGAAGTTATTCTTAACATTGCACTCATAAACATTCATTATTTGTATACTGTTATGCAAGTATGGAACACTTGTTTGGTGAATATACTCCTATTCCTTCAAGAAACATCTATGTGGCATCAGCTAATAACAGTCTTGATATCTATCGGGGGAAATGAATTACACTGACCCAGCAATGTTTTTCTTTTAACTTTTATTTAAAATTTCAAGTCACAATTTCAGTCTGAACTTGAAAAACCACCACTACTATCATTGGTGTTTTTTCCCCCAAAAGTTGAGGGGAATGATCATGGCAAAAACAAATTATGCAATACATGAATATTTAACTTCCGTCTTGTCAAAATTTCATAAAAATTTTCAAAGTATTATTTGAAAACACACTACAGTCCTGAAATCCTTATTTTTCAACATTTTATATGCAAAAGCCATTTTCCAAAATATAAACTTTTTTTGGCAAATACAAACACCGTATGTCTTTATGAGCAACTAAAATATACAAACATTTATGTACATATATTGTAGATCTCCATTCGTCTTTGGCTTGAATACATGAGCAATTACACTTGTCAAAACACAATCGGCTTATAAATAATTTTAAGTGAAAAAAAAGCAGTTCATTCTAAAACAAAATTTCATGTACTTTTTTAATGTCTGTCAAGAAATATGGTGCATAGAACAGGTACTGATCATAATTTGGTCGACATTACGATACGTGTGTGTACATGTACAGTATATATCTTTACCTTTTGATCGACTTTAAAATGATCTTGCCAATTGGATGGAGTTGTGATGAAAATTCAAAATTTTTCTTTCTTGAATGTCATCGTATTGGTCGCGACACAGACACTCTTAAACACACATATTGAAATTTGTATCCTTGTGGAGTCATTTCTTTGTTCTCGTGTACTAAAGTTTTAGAGTTTGAAAGTGTAGTTTCCAATTGCTCCTATTTTAACCAGAATTAATTTCCTGGGCTGAAATTCGGACTTAATATCCCTTACATAAAATACTTCAATTTGCGATGATCAACACACCTCGGAAATTCCTAGTTTTTGAGTAACATCCATATATCTATTTCATGATAACGTATACAATCTTTTGTTCCCTATTATTCACATGTCTCCACAGGGTACCGTGTACCAAATCAAACACTCTTAAACACTCAAACTTGATTGAAAAATGAGAGACAGTGCGAAGGCTGGTATGCTACAATGAAATTAATAGTCTTTCTTCCATTCCTTCATCACAGTTACAACTTTTGCAAACAAGTCTTCGTATAAATTTCTTGCATAAAAAAGTCTGAAGTCAATGAAAAATACTACAAAACCCTGAAAAATATTACAAAACCCTGAAGTGAACTTGGCAGGACACAGATAAAAGTCAATTAATGATACACATGATATCAACAGCAAGTTTTCGTCCAAGGTTTTAACATTCATGCCCACTTCTAAGAACACCCTAACCCTGCTGAATCCAACAGGATCCAACTGTATCATAAACCCGTTGGAGCCTGTTGGATTGAGCAGTAAACCCCTTGTACAAATGTGCATGTACATATTCAGAGTCGGATTCTGTTGAGTACTGATAAATAACGTCGAGTTGGACTCTGTTGGATCCAACAGACAACTAAAAATTAGGCACAGTTGGATTCTGTTGGATTAAGCAGGAAGTAATAGTTGGACCCTGTTGGATTTAGCGGGGTAGTCCTGAGAAACCCTTGGGGGGTATATACTACAATGTGTTATTACATTTTCTTTTAAAAAAAGTATGAATACAAGCTTACAAAATACAGATAGTACTTAATCTCGGTACTATTTGTGGTAACCCTGAATCTCCACTTATGATTAAAAGTGTGGCAGTACTGTATATTCTTTTCTTCAATATTCACTCAATATTTCGAAATGCATCATTTAAATTCAAGTCCCATTTGAACAATATTGAAGTTTAAGATTTGAGGCTTTGCATGGAGTATCGGTATCGTTTCGGTTTGCGGTAACACCATGTGGTAATAACTACTGCTTAGAAGATATTTAGTTCTGAAAAGAACATGTCCTGCTTAATATCAACTTTCGCTAAGTAGTTTTTGTTCTGATAAGAACAGTCCTGCTTTAAGTTCTAAAAGAGCTTGTCTTGAAGTTTGTTGTCAGAAATATAATTATAAGCAACTAGCAAAACGGAGACTGCCGTCAACGGCACAAGTCCTGATTTCAATGCATCAAGAAAAAAAAGAAAGACATTTATTGTAGATGTTCCCAAATGGTATTTATTAAGGCAATGATGGGTATCTGGGTACCCGTAACCCGACTGCTTATTTACAGGTATCCGATTCCATTTTATCAATTTTATTACTAAAAACTGCCTTTGTAGATCTCTACACAACATTTCAAACAGGCAAGCGCAATTTTCTATTGATATCTTGCCGATAAATTATTAGAACAAAATCTGAGTACAACATCTTTTGAGTCCATTTACCGACAGTTTCCCTATGTCGAGATTGCGGATGAATCAAACGAAAAGAACCAATCACAACGCACGTACCAAGTGCTACTCGGCAGGCAACTTGCCTAATTTGTCATCAGACAAACAAGACGCGATCTTAATGAAGATTTTGTTCAATACTCGTCGTCAGACGAAAACGAGGTGACGTTACGACGTCTTGGCTGGACCCTCTCGGCCCGGTAGGTCCTCTGGCCCAGCGATGCGCCGATCCGTTCAACAAACATCTGCACCGTCTCCGTGTTCAGGATGGAGTTGTTGAATGACTCGGAAACCCTAGTCCTCAGGTTGTAGCGGGTCTGAGTGGGTGTCCTACAACTTTCCTGAAATGAAAAAAAAGGAATGAAAATGCAGGAGAGTCATTCCAGTGTTATGTTATGTCTGTGACAGAGCGCTTAACCAGTTCATGTTCTTTAACCAAATCTTCAAAAATTCCAACAGTAGTTTAAGAGGTTTAGGATTCTGCTTCCCATTACAATGACAATAAAGGGGGGGGGGGGGTAGAGATCTAATTTTTGTTGTTGTATGAAGTATGTGTGATTGGCTCATGAGGGATTTTGGAGGATTCAGGAGTTTTTTCCCTGCAAAAATTCCCACATGTTGAGTACTTATTGGAAGTACTTTAACCCTAATGTCCTAAGGGCTCTTTGGGGTCAAGGACCAAATACCACAGAATACTACATGTGTTGTGCACACTTGTATGGAAAGAAATGCATACTACAGGTTACCATTGAGTAGTATTTTGTAGCTTTAGGTGAGGTTAGGGTTAAGGAAATGCAACTCACACTCTGCGGCGTTGACTGCCTGCTTCTGCTGCCTTTTGGCCGGCCTCGTTTTCTCTTTGTCGTTGAGGAGCTGCCGGTGAAGGTGGCATCCGGTGTATTGGATTGGAATGGAGTGTTTACTGTACAGGAGCAAATATAATAGAAAAAACACCTTTTTTTCGTGTTCAAATGACTGAGCAATTCAATGTGATTTCATTGCTTACCACAAGTTCTAAACACTACATAAAGTTACCTAAAACCCAAATCCCTAATTCTGAAAGACTTGTAAAATTGTGTTTGAAATTGATTTAAAAAAAAAAATTAAACTCAGGCCAAAAAAAAAAAAATATTCAGTCTCTGGTCAGACCAAAGTTCCGGAATTGACGCGGTCACGCGGCTTTTTTTTTTTTTTTTGCTTTTTTTTTTTTTTTTTCTTCAAGCTTGGATTGTACAGACAAGGTAGGTACTATTTTGCTTTTTTGGTGTCCTCATGTACATTGGTGTCCTCCATAATTTGCCTTGGTGCTTTCGATCATTGGTGCAATTTCCCATTCCTTGGTGCTCTTTGGTAAAAAAAATTGAGGAGGTGCGGAAATAGAGGGCGCTGTTGGAGCTACCGCGGAACATTTTGGAAAAAAAAAAGATCGACGCGCATGATTAAAATCGACGCGCGCGCTGACCAGAGACCGACTTATTTTTTTTTTTGGCCTTACCTTTTAATAAATTTAAAATATAGCCTTTTAACAAAAGGGAACAAATCTTACCCGAGTTGTTTAGTCCCTGCATGAAGCTGTCGTTTGATGCCTGATGACTGCCCCTTCTCTGTCCCTCCAGACTGACCCTCCGACTGACCGGCTGACTGGCCTGGTTTGCCGTGATGAAGCTCTCCGTGTCCGACAGTTCGTCGGTGTCCGTTGAGCTCTGTGCCCCGATGTAGGTGGGCTCCGTGTCTGTACTCGTGAAGTCTTCTGAGCTGTATCCATCAATTGCTGTTACGTTGTCTAGGGAGTTGTTGAAAGAGTTTTAAAAAAAAACTTTGCACAAAAAAAAAACCCACAAAACTAGGCGGAAACAGTCTGCGCCCCTGCGCAGGTTGGCCTGGTGTCTGAAGTTGTATGGGTTGTAGCCATCAATTGTTGTTATGTTGTCTAGGCGCTTATTGAAAAAAAAACACCCGAAAACTAAAGCAGAAAAACTTTGCGCCCCCTTCCGCAGTGGGCTCAGTGTTGGTGCTCCTGCATCCATCTGAATTGTAGCCATCCATTACCCCTTCGGCTCCCTGTTTTACCATTCTTGGATAAATTGGATGTTTTTTTTTCAAATTCCGTCTTATCGAGGCAATTCCTTCCTTCCTTCCTTGAAAGTGCAGCCTCATATGTATGAGGATAAACGCACTGCCAGAAACACCGGGGCGAACCTCTTCTCTCAGGGATTAACGTTACTAGGTTCTTTTACGTGCATTATACAACACACGGGACCTACAGCTTTATGTCCCATTCAAAGGAGAAGCAATAATGGTTAAGTGTCTTGCTTAAGGACACAAGTGTCAAGAGCAGGACTCGAACCCACAATGTACTGATCAGATACACCAGAGCTTGAGTCCGGTGCTCTTAACCACTCGGCCATGACACTCCACTTGTAAAACCGTTTGCTATAAATGCGGTTCGAGTCCGCTTTATGCCCATTTTGTACCTACGCCTATTCTTAGCCATAGGCCTAACCACGCATATGGGCCCAAAATGGACTGAAAAGGTAACTCGATTCCGAATAGTTGGTGACATGACGTGTTTCCGGTCTACAGGTGTCAATACATGCCGTTGGTCTATTCGAATTGAGAAGATACTTCTCTGCGGTGTAAGTGACCTGAATCTTGGCATTCAGTACCTGCTGTTCGGTGCCACATACTGTCGCTGTAGTCTCGGCCGAGAGAGAGTGGTTTGTGACCCGCGACCAGCGACATGGCAGCGGCACCTGAAGACTGCAGAGCTGTGGCGACATTGTTGCCCCCGAGTGCTGGGTACGAATTCACACCTTCCAAGAAAACAAGAAGAGCAAAAAGGAAGATACATCAAAATGCTGCGTTTACTTTTTTTGGGCCCAAGTGTCACATTCATATTATAATAAACTCCTGGTAAATACATTTACATAGCATTTGGTCTCAACTAGTCATCAAAGAGCAAGATCTATTGCTGTAATCAAGGTTTTTTTTGCCGAACCAAAATCTGTGTCTAGATTTGGTCATACCAGGGTTTACACAATGTGTACAAGGAATTATGCGCCTCTGTGACGATATAAGTACATATACCGCTTAAACAAGGCTTAAACTTATTTCCAGTCACAAGAGATTCCAATCAGAGCTGGCTTATGTGTTTCAAATGTAGAAGCTGTTTTACCGACGACTGGTGTACAGGTACAAGATATTAAATTGTGTCCACAATGCAGGCAGGATTAGATATGAAAAAACTTGCATCTCTGAGTGCATTAGTTCTAAACCACCAAAAGGCCTGACTTATATTCCGTGACCACAAACACAATCCAACTGTAGTTGGGGCCATTGCTATAGTTGGGACGTAACAGTGCTCCCAAGAAGTATCAACCTGCCATAACAGTTTCTTTTTAAGGAGCCTTACTAACCGATTCCTTTCATGACGCGGCACAGCTCCGAGTTTTGTCGTCGGATCTCCAGCAGGAGCATGTTGTTCACAGTGGCCAAGTCTTTGTATCGATAGGCACAAACAAAGAGCACCACCAAGGCAATGGCACAGAAGCACTTGCGACAAAACCACATGTGATCATAAAGCTGTGCCAACAAGAATAATGAGAGAATAAGGAAACAACATTTTGATATTAAATCATATAAAATGGGACAATTTCACAGGAGATGTAGGGTGAAAAAAAGAGGATGCAAGCAGACCTGAGGAATGTCTGGTCAATATGTGACCCGCTCCACAAAAATGAGTCTGTTGTGGCAAAACTGACATTTTGAGTTAACTACATTAATAAAATGGGAATGAAATAAGCTTTCATTTGGTATATCATGGGCCTCTCTAGGACGTTTGGTTGCATTGTTGTGCCTTTTTTAATTCTGTCAAGTTTTTGCAAAGCAAGAAATGTCTCAATGAAGAAAAGAGGGTTTAAAAATTACAAATACATTGAAAAGCACCAAAAATCATAAATTTGTTAGTCTTTTTCTTACAATATTTAAATTTCTGTGTAAGATATCTGAACTAAAATTATCAAACAACCAAAATGAAACAAAAACAAAAAATCCAAATTTTGAGCAAATTTTCACTGTTTCCATTTAAAAGTGGTAAAAGCTGGAATTCAAGCTATGCGACATCAGACTCATTTTTGCAGAGCGGGTCACATATCTGCAATATCAATATTCCTTGCCATTCTTGCAGCTCAGGAGGTACTTATGCAACAGAGGCCCTACCTGATCGCCACCAACGACTTGAAACACGCCTCTCTCAACCACCAAGTCCACCCCCAGGATAATGAACAGCCAGAGCCTGGCTCCGCTGGTACGGGGCGCGGAGGTCACTATGTAGGCGATCAGCACGGCGGCGGCGAAGAACAGCAGGGAGTTGAACCAGCTGAATTCCCCCAGGATGAGACGTTGGATGTCACCCACGCGGCTGAAGGTCTCCTCAAACAGACGCTGCTGGTTCTGGGTCTGGTCCTTCATCTCCGCAAAGACATTCTGCCGGTCAAGATGAAGATAGATATCTTGAGTTTGAGACAACACGCCGAACTTTTAGTCTGAGTCTAAGTCCCGAGCGTTGAGTCTCAAGTTGAGTCCCGAGTCATCCGAGTCATCAGGGAAACTCATTTTGTCATGGCGGTACTATTTTGACCCCAGTTTGGATCCCTTCAGGTGCTCCAGGTGAACTGGGGTTATAGCCTACTATGTCTTGGGTGACGCTAAATATTTCTCCACACAGCTTTCCCCAGGATTCCCCGCTACTGAGGAATCCCAAGGAACTGAAGAAGAGAAAATATCTACCATCGTATTTTCTTGACTCTGAACACCAAAGTATGAACATTTGTGAACAATGAAATTGACTGGGGCAGGACATGAACATGCGGAACACCATTGGAGCACCAGTAAGGTGTTCTGGGGGTAATGCATAGGGTGTCAATCCCAAACATAGTCAGTTTTTTAGAAGTTTGCCCTAAAAAAAAATACTGCAGAGCAACCCTTCACTTGGTAAGGATGTACACACATTTTCATTTTTGCATAATAACCCTCCTTCTCTGGCTGGCAATTTCAACAAAGCCAGCCCAGCATTTAAAATAAATCAAGTGACTGTTTTTAACAGTTGGGTGCTTCCTTCTGACATAAAGCAGGATTGACTGGCTGGCATTAGTTATAAAACTTGATACAGCTATGCTTTGGCTGTAGAAGATTGATAAGCCAGCTGTGACTACCAGTCACCTGCTTTTGTCTGTTGATGGAATATGACTAGTCTCTGTGCCCATAGAAATATGATCTGACTGCTGGTGACTAGCCTGCCTAAAAGGCATGGAAGAGGAAGTGGAATGAATTTTTGACTGTCTGTGACTGATCGAACAAAAGGAAGATTGATGAAACATCCTTAAAGTCCATCAGTCAAAACTTTCCAATTAATTAAACCAAGAAATCTTCTTCTGACATTCATACCTTGATATCCTGTGAGGATGTCTGGAGTGCATCTCTCAGTTTCTCCTCGTTCTGCAGGATGAGGTCTTGCTGCATCAGTGATGCCCCCTGCTTCTCAATCATCTCCTCCTGTAGTTTACCTATCAAAGTCAAGAAATCCTTCCATTTCTAAGTACACTTTCTATCCCCATCTCCAAAAATATGGAGATGAACAGGGGAAATAATTGTAAAGCGCTTTGAGACGTTTGATACAAAGTTCTATAAAATCACCACATTATTATTATTATGGCAACACGCAGCAACTGATATAAACTGGCATGCAAATGAACAGATGTTCTCATAAGCTGCACACAAGCCCGCCCGCGTCAATATCATCCCATTCCCTCTCCAATCACCAACCTGTGACCTCCATCTTAACCGCCACGTCTTCCGAGCTCTGGGCCAGCCGGGAGACGGTCTGCTCTGTCTGCTCGTGCCAGACTTGGCTTTGCAAGAAGAAGCAGATGTCCTGGGTGTGGGTGAAGAACTCCGTGTAGGCATTGAACGCTACGGCGTCGCCCCGCAGCTGTGACAGGCAGGTCTGGATGTCAGTCGTCCCGCTCTCGCAGGGGTACGACGGTAGACCCGCCTTCTCTAAGTGACAGTTGGCGAAGGTCAGGGCCAGGTAACTCTGCTCGTCGTCTGTGAGTCGTTTGCAACCTGCCCAACAAATGAGAAATCAAACATATTTACGACCAAAACTTGGCCTTCCTGACCTTCCTGAACCCCAACTTTGTTCAGGCACCCAATGGCACACTCTAAGTACATGGACTTTCAAGGGACAATAACCGGGCTTCAACTTCCTCAAATCTGTAAGATCCTCCAGAACCTCTTGGTGGAGTCTTAAGGATCTTGGAGAGTTAGGGGGAATACAATACTGCATTTATCACAGGGTTCTCTGACTTCAGGCAGCACTGTTGAAACATATGTGTTACTCCCATTCTATCCAGGATCTTATTAACCTTTTAGTCACTGTACCACCTCAAACCGCCCTGCCTATCACTCACTGTACCGCCCAAAACCGCCCCAGCACTCTATGGTTTTATGGATTCTTCAGTGAATAAACACAATGTAATACAATGTAGTACAGGTGCTAATGGGTTAAATTGGCCTATCGCCGTTTGCGAATTAGCCACGCCCCTTAGACAACCCTATGTAGTTTTTGTACACCAACTTTTACTTGTCTCAGATTTTAATATCATGTAATTGGACAATATTTCATAAGCTGCGTTGACGCGATTCTAACGTGATTCTACCACCATAGGTCAATTTAGGTGGAATGTAATTTAGGGTGATAGACAAGCAATATCACTGAGATATTTTTGGAATAATTTTATTGGAGGGAAGATTGCCATTGGTATCTGCAGGTAAAAAAAAAATGTGGGGTCGTGAACAGTCCCCCCCCCCCCCCCCCCAAGGTTACCAACCATGCCCAGAGGGGTTTGCAGTCTTCCCCTGCAACTTGGCCCACGTGGGCCCCTAACATCTGTCTTAACCCTAACCCTGCCAAATGCAACACAGTGCATCAGGTGGAAAAGTCTGGTGCACTTTGATGCATTCAGCTACCAACACCAGTGCATCAATGGTCGCTTCTGAGACAATGACAGCTAGTTCCATAGAACAATGCCCAAGTTGTATCCTGCTGCGTTTGGGGACCACAGACTCTGAGGCAGTTTGGCCTTGAGACTTTTGACCTGATGGATATTGCTGCACTGGGCAGGCTTTTCATTCAGACAAATGTTGCAGGTTGCTGCGTTTGGCAGGGTTTCTAGCCAGAATAACCACGAGGGTTAGGGCTAGGGAGGAGTGCAGAGTACTTCAAGCCGTGATACAAAAAGATCCAAGAGTCTGAACATCTTTCAAAATGCAACGATGACGGCATCCAACCTGGGCTACCCTGCAACTGTACCTTCATTAATTTCTTCCAAAGCTCTCGTCCAGCATCTGCCGTAGCGTGGATGCTCTCCATACTGCCTGATCTGGGTCAGCATTCTCTCACCCTCGTTGACTCTCACCACACCTTGCTCGTACTTCGGCTCCCCAGAGATGAGAAGTGCTGCTCTGGAGACGAGGGCAATGATAAGCAGCACACTGACAGCCATAAGGCTACAAGCTGTGAAGAGAGAATAGAAAAATTATGTAGAAAATTTAGAACAGTAAAAATTTGAACACTGTCTTGATTTAGTCTGAATAACTAGGACTCTACGAATTGCCTTTTTTAATATTTGGACATGGTCTAGGCATGGAGGTAGGAATAGAAGGAGTTAGCACGAAAATCCCCGTGGTTTTAATCCCAATTAGCAAATTCCGGGCCACTGTGGTGAGCTATGGGATATCACGACTGCCGTTAATCCCCTTGAACGCTATGTCTAATGCCGACCGCTCAGCTCCGTTCACTACCGAAGAAGCCTGACTGGAGTACATCCAACAAACAAATATATACTTCGGACATGCGCAGTACGTTTTGAGCATATGCACGCTATCGGGGTCTTGTTTTTCGGATGCGCAACAAAAATCTTTGTCATGTCACCTTTAAAACGATGAAAATTTGCCAATAATTCGTTTGGCAAGTAATATTTTCATATTTCAGATAAATGTGAAATTTCGTAAATTACCTGGTGAAATGTAAGACATTTTTGGCAGCTTCCTGCCATGCCCTGTGAATAAAAATAACAGCAAAAGTTTCGGAAAGGTAGCGCTTTCAAATGATGTAAGAATCGTAACTTAGCGATGCTTAGCACTTAAAAAAACCCACTTTTTTTGCGATGTCGAAAAACGAAACTAGTGGCAGTTCTCCATAAAGCCGCATGCAATTACAATGCGCATGCATTTTTGCGGTTTTGCGGTTTTCGGAAGGCTATCTGATTAATGGCGGCGTGAGACATGGCCTGTTTGATCTGTGCTTGTACTAACTCCTTCTATTCCTACCTCCATGGTCTAAACTCTAAGTTAAGTAACTTACAAAATTTTCTTGACTGTCCATATAGACTTTGTACACAACCGCTGAAGTGGCGTCAGGGAATCAGGTCAACTCGGACCCAAACCAAGTCGGACCCATGCCAAGTCGGACCCACACCAACTCGGACCCACGCCAACTCGGACCCACTACCAACTCGGACCCACTACCAACTCGGACCCACTACCAACTCGGACCCACTACCAACTCGGACCCACTACCAACTCGGACCCAGGCACGACCAACTTGGACCCAACAATGACTTAATCATTAGTTTCAGAGATTATATTTATAGGTCATCTTAATGTTACAGTGCTAATATAGTGAAGATATTAAATGGGGCTTTTAGTTTTGTTGTTTGATCATACTACGTTGATTGTGCTCTCTTATTAATCATTCACATGAAGAAATGGATATCTATGTGCAATGTTTTCCTTTTTCATCTGCATTTTGTGTGTGTGCCAAATAATATAAACCAAAGTAAATCACATCCAATGAAGGATTTTAATATATATGTCACAGAAAGGTAATCATCAAGTTAAGGAAATTAGGAATGCAGTTCGAAAATGTCAAACACAATGCATGCAGTAACATTGATCTGCAATCATTCTCCCCCATTCATAGCGCGGCGCACCAAAACCGGCCAACGCAAAGAGATTAATCTTCGCGGTTGAACCAAAGCGTAGTCCCCAGTTCACACAAACAGCGGCAAGTTCATTCGGCAGTATCGGCACCCCTTGATCAGTTCAGTGAAGCGGGTAAAAAGGTTACCGCTGCGAAGATCGAAGTGTATGAAAGATAATTTAAATGCTGGCTTTGAATTTTGTGGGTTTTTTTTACGAATCTGTGTAACTTTTTATACTTTTTGATTAACCTTTTTTGTTCAATCAGGAACCTTCATTTTTCTTGCAGTGTATGCAATGGTGTTGATGTGTTTTTTTTTTAAATACATGTACATGTAGAGATTAGAATAGACTTCGTTTTTATACCTTTTTTATTTTATTTAATGGCTTATAATGTTTACTTATATTTATTGAATTAATAATGTCATGTTTGAAAGTGTTTATGTTCCAATGTCATACTTTCCAATTTTATTTTTCTATGAAGATCTGTTCTGAATTCATGCGGTTTGAATTAAAATGAAATAAATTGCTGTTAAATTGAGCAAGATGGCGTGAAAGATGTCAAATATGAAAATAAATAATTGGTTAAACTTTAATTTTAATTATTTTTGGTTAAAGTGCAATATGTTTCAATGGAAACAAATAATAAAAATAAATAATTAATTACACTTTTACAGCGCATGTCAAAATAGCATTTCAATGTGCTTTACAACGACAAACTGCTGCAATACAGATATTTTACCTGACAACTACAGTGAAAATGTATACTTAACAACAGCTCACTGTATTAACAGATGGTACCGGTAAGTGGACAAACTTTATGAAATGTCATTGTCAAATGATTGAAAACGCTGTTGAATGATTGTAAACGATGGGTCCGAGTTGGTCATGCATGGGTCCGAGTTGGTAGTGGGTCCGAGTTGGTTGTGGGTCCGAGTTGGTAGTGGGTCCGAGTTGGTAGTGGGTCCGAGTTGGTAGTGGGTCCGAGTTGACGTGGGTCCGAGTTGGCATGGGTCCGAGTTGGCTTGGGTCCGACTTGGTTTGGGTCCGAGTTGGATCGAAAAGATGGCAACATTTTTTCCAATGATAATTTCAAATTCATGGGACAGAATGCTAAATTTTTTCCTTTTAAAAATAAATGAGAACAAAAAAGAATCTCTTTGAGTTATACTCACCAATCATGCAATCTTCACAAACGCGGCGTTTCATCAATTCATAAGTGGCGCTTTCCCAAACGAAATTGCGGAACCGCTGCGCTGGTTTAATTTTAGAATTCAACTCGTGAGGGCGCCCTTCGCAAATCACGGAAACGAAACAGGTGAAACTGGATGATGAGGCACATGACCGCCGTCGCCCATCCCACTGCTGACAATTCGGGTTTAAACACCAGCTTGTCGTAACTATCCAGCACAGTAGGTATTATATCGATGGAAGTGTGTTCATTCGGTGTGGTTAAGTGAAGTCAAGAATGCTATTCTTGTTTAAATTGCTCGACTTGTTGTTATCTGTGGTGGGAATAGGTGGAGGACTAGACTGGGACCCAAGCCTCATAAGGCCAAGTTGAAGTTGAGTGCAGAAAACATGCACTATGATATGAAGGGTGTACCCGGCGGAGTATAAAACTTCCCATACTTAGTCCCATAGACAGCAGTGATAAATCCCCATACTTCAATATTCTTTTAAAAATACTCCGATTCTCTCAGCTCTCACACTCACTTGTCATGCTTGTGTTCAGCTGCAATGCACAATGAAGATCAACATGTCATCTTTCATTTTCTTTTCAATTTTTGATGGGTTGGCCATTGTCTTTTTTGAGAAATACTCGCCCAAACTTAACTATAATACCAACGATGTTTCCAAAACTGGCAAAGTAGCCAATTTGAAAAAGGATCCCTCCACAACATGGTTAAATTGCACCACTTTCGGACCCAGTTGCATCCAAAACGCTAAAATTGGAAGCCCCAAGGCCAAGTCTAGGCCAGAACTATGATTGCCATATATCTCTTCATGTCCCCAATTCAGTGGCTCTCAGGACTCTCTAAATCTAAATATATAATAATTTGAGTGTACGATGTATTTATTCATGAGCTCGATGAACAGATTTTTGACCTATTGGACTCTCATCATGCACAGTATTGAGAGTCCCAAATTTTCGGACTAGTTGGGCACAGTCATCTGGGAATATTATAGTTATTTGGCTTAATATAATATGGCTTTCAGACTTATGTGTGTTCTTGAAAAAAAATATGAAATATATTAATACAACACAAAGTATGCAATATAATACAACACAAAGTATGCAATATAATACACCAGGTAATTTTGCCATTTACTGTGTGGTGTTATTTTTTTAAATTAGCATGCATTTATTTCTATACAGACAAATCCAAAATGGCCACTTCTGGACAGAGTGCCAGCCAAGCCAAACAGTTGCAGTTTGCGCCCATGAACAGCGCCCTCGATGTTGGATTCTGGCACCGGCTGTCCAGGAAGAAGCTTGAAGAATACAAGTTGGACGACTCTCCCAAACCAATCAACGGCTATTACTACAATGGTAAATCGAAGCCGTTTTCAAAGTTGCAATTTCCGTTGTAAACTATTAACCCTAACTCCCTAGGCCCTTGTTGCTTACAACCATCCTCAATCCTCCAAAATCCTCCAAAATTTTGCAACTCCGCCTAAATTTTTCAAAATTGTCAGACAGTCCTGCCTCAAAATGCATTCATCCTCAATCCTCCAAAATCCCAAAACTTTGCACTCGTGTTTAAATGAAGGATAACCAACGCCAAATCCTTCAAAATCATCAGACAGTCCTGCCTCAAAATGCATTCATCCTCAATCCTCCAAAATCCTCTTGTGCTTCAATCACCATTCATCCTCAATCCTCCAAAATCCTCATGTGCTTCAATCACCATTCATCCTCAATCCTCCAAAATCCTCATTTGATTCAATCACCATTCATCCTCAATCCTCTAGAATCCTCCAAAACCGCCAGGAGGATTTTGGAGGAGTGAGGTGGGTTAGGGTTAATACTCTTTTATCCCTTAAGCAGGAATTCCGTGCTTAGGATCAGTCACTGTTCACTGCTTACAGCCTCAGCACAAGAATTCTGTGCTAATCCTATAAACACAGAATCTTCAGTTAGGACCATCTCAATTCATGTCTAAGACGAGTCCCGGACAAGTTACAGGTAGAATCAGTCACTTTGTCCAGAAGAAGCTCTGCATTTGTCCCGGACACGTTCCTGGGAAATTTGCATTAGCAACCGCTTGACTCACAAATACTGATAACTTCATTGCGGGAAGATTGCAGGGAAGTTGCTCAGAATCCTGCAACTTATACCCGATACAATGTCCACAACTTGTCCGAAACTCGTCCCAGGTATGAATTGAAACTGGCCATGACTGGATGTGCACAAGCGCAAAAATCAAAATTCCTTGCTAACTCGTCAAATACGCCTACTGTAAGCACAGAGTTCCTGCAACCAGGTCTGACTTTGGTTTGATTTCATTTTGTACATTGTCGTAAGTTGGTCATTTGTCAATTTTGACCAGGTTTTCATTAAGGTATGAGGAATTTATTTTCAAAGCCATAAAACTTTCTCTGTTTCACAACTTTGTGAATGCAGGAGATCCTGATGGCCTTCCATCAAGGACCAGCCTGGATTTCAACTCCTTTGATGAGTAAGTTGGAGATTTCTTCCAAGCTTTAGCTTTCTCCGCCCCCCCCCCCCACCCACCATGTCTCCTCCCCTTTTACTTTCTCACTCTTGCTAAAATGTCCTTTTTCAGAAGTTCTAGGTGATTCTCACTATAACATCTCAAAGTGTGTGAAGAATGACTCAGTTTTGCACCTAGAAACCCGGGGGGAGGGGGGTTTCAAGTATTTTTTGTGATATTTATTTGGAAAGGTATATCAACAATGTTAAAGCCAAGTTAAGTTAATTTAGATTGTAGGCGACTATCAATGTACACAATTTCTTGACACATCTCCTCTTTCATCATAAATTCCACTTTTCAAGCTGAAATGATCTCAGGAGTTTTCATGAGATCTTCAAATAATAACTTTTTGGTGGCTCCGGCTGTATGTAAGGTTTCAGATATAGCCTCAGCTTTGCCATGAAATTGAACTGTCACTATCGGCACAAAGCCATTCCCATAGACACCTTCCGTGAAATGTACAATATTTAGTAAATTTTTTGTCATTGTCTGTTGCTTTATTTCCTGTATTGTCCTCAGACCCATCCAGTGCCCGCCGCATTGCTTTCCTTCCCACGGCACGTTGCTGAATTTCAACACCATGGATGCCTTCAAGTCATGTGACAAGAAGGCAGAACTGGAAAAAATTGCAGCCCTGGTGAGTGCCATTTACAAATGTGACTAATAAATGTAGTCAACTGTGATTTGAAAATGTTGTCTGTTAACAATACTCTATAAGTATACTTTTTTGTGGCTAAAAGGGTAATTTTTTTTTTACCTTGTTTTTGCATCAAAGTCCAACAAATATCGGTGTTTTTCCTCTCTAAATAAATGTTCAAGTTGTATGTGTTCTTCCAATCTTTCTTTTTTGGGAGCATCTCCAACCCTTTGATAAGTGGTTTTGTGGGGTTCTTTTATTTCCGCCTTGCGGGCAGAATGGTTCCAAGTTCAAACAGTGATCAATACTGACTGAGGAGTGCAAACCAGCCTACCCTGTGAGAACAGAATTATTGTCGGACCGCAAGCAATTCGAAATTTGTAATGGTCTAATAACTAACCGTAGAGCCATTTTTGTCCCATTGATGTATCAATAGCCCTAACAGTCCTGAATCCTCCAATTTTAATATGATTTTGCACACCTTCTAGGGAGTTAGGGTTAAAAATTGAAAAATGTTTGTATTGCTAGAAAAAAAATTATTAAAAAGGACTAGGATGGAACTCAAAAATAGCTCAGGGAGAGTGACTTTAACGTGTTTGATTTTTATTACTTTCAAAAAAATGTCATCACATGGACATGATCTTTAAAATTTCAATGAGCTGTTGTTTTGTATCGCCTGGATGGGCATGAGTGAATTTTTTGTGCATTCATTGCTAAGGGAATTTCAGCGAGGGTCCTTATCCACGACCAGGCCCCTAGCCGGTTTTCAAATGTACTTGTTTAAAACCAACCAAGCCCATGTATTTATTGCAATTCATAAATACCTTTTCGGTCAAAATAAGTCAAAATTGACAAAATTCTAAATTTATTTCATGTTTTGTGACACACTCCTCTGGCCATGTCTATGGTATGTGCCTCGCGCGCGAAATGCTAACAATCTCCTGATATGGAGATTGGCCCGCGCGCAGTGCGTACCACTTGATGTGGCGCAGAATGCAGCGGCGTTTTACCGGCAGTTTAAAACCACCCACATGACGGGCTCTCGACCAATAGGATTGGGAAACTGTCTCAGGTATTTATGAATACTAAATAAACAATAACAAAGAACATCACCTGACACATCTGCGTAAAGGTCCATTGGCAGACCTTCTATTTTGCTGTTTTGGTTGACGTTTATTGCTTAGAAAAACTGTGGGTTTTTTTCCTTCTTCTTTCGTTAGATCTGGACAGACATCACATCTGGAGCAGCATTGAAGGACCCTTCACTGTTGTCCAGGTTTTTGCTGTTAACTTTTGCAGTAAGTCTGTTGATAGACGATGGTTTTAGTGCAGTGAGAAATCCAACAGTCTTTCATCTTTGCCATAGAAAATTAAATGTAAACAGTTGTGAAAATCTACCTTTTTAAAAAAAAATATCAAATACTTGAAAGTTTTCATCACAATTGTGCATCCATTGAGCACCAAGCATGACATAAAATTCAGTTTAAAAAAAAAAAGTTAAGAAATTGCATTCAAAGGGTTGACAAAACTATGAGTTTACTTTAGCGCCAGTGAATTTCCATTTCAAAAATATTAATTTTCCATTGAAGAAAAATTCAAAATTGCGTACAGATGTACAATGACATCTGTGTCACAATTGTGTTAGGTATTTCGTGTAAAGAATGTCAATTGAAACTAGTTGAGGCTACGTTCCTTACAAAGTTGTCGCGGAATTTAAATAAGCAAAATCCTTACTCTAATCGGTATGAAAGTTTAACAGTATTTGCCAACATCCTTTGAGTATTGTAGAATGGAAATAAGAATAATGAATAATGAAAGGTTTGCGGAAACACCATGGGCGAATAATTTCTCAACTAAGAGAATGGTTCTGAAAAGAACCAGAGGTATAAACTCGACGTTCCGTTCAGTATGCTCTGACCGTCTTCAGGAGAGTGCCTAAACTCTAAGAAAGTGAAAGGAAATAAGAATAATGTGCAAGAGAAGATGCTCCTAGTAACGATTTGTGGTTTCCTTTTCAGGATCTGAAGAAGTACCACTTTGTCTTCTGGTTTGCCTTCCCTGCGTTGTGCTCCATAGATAGCATCAACGTCTCCAAGACGCAGCATCTCAATCAATGCTTCAGTGAAGAACAGGTCAGTGTATTGACATATTGGCATGGGTGGTGCAGTGCGTAAAGTGCTTGGCTCACATCGCTGTGACCCGGGTTCGATTCCTGACTAGGGTCACATGTGAGTAGGGTTGTTTGTTGATTCTCTCCTGTACCACAAGGGTTTTTCTCTGGTTTCTCCGGTTTGCCGGGCTCCACAAAATATGACGCTGTCGATCTGGTTGTGCTCCGTGGTCAGACATGGGTCATAAGGCGGGTGCCTAAAGACGCCTTTACATGCCTTCAGCTCGACCATGTTGTAGCTGCGTCCTTACATTTCAGCTTCTGCTGCGAGTAAGGACTACTAGCCCCCCCCCCCAATTTTATTTTAAGTTGAATGATTTGGTGCAAGCTGAAATAATGGAAATATTCTCGAAAACAATGGATAAATGATAAGGCCAACTGCATATTTACAATTGGCTTCATAAAAACATAAAAAAAGAGAGTAAATAACAACTTTGCGCCGGGATAATTTTTTTGTCGAAAATTTCGATTTTCGCAAAAAGGCAACATTTTCCAGCCAAACGCCACAAATGCTGATTCGCAAGAGTAATTTCAGCAGTGTGTGTATGATATTTCTTGCCGAAACCTCATATGTTTCAATACTCCGGGGTGTGCACTGGAGCGTAAATTGTACAACAATAGGCCGTGCACAACGGCCAATTCAAGATCAACACACAGTCTGCCTCCACAGACTTCACAGAGTTTGTGTGTGTGTGCAAAAGGCACGAGGGATTAGTGTGTTTAGACGTCACCCGGATGCGAGTCGAGGCAATCTTGACGTCTTAACCCATCAGCCGTGCCTGTGTATAAAAACAGCCAGTGCGTGTGATCACGTCCTCCGACGCGAACTTGTTATAAAGCCAATTCTCTTTTCTTTTCTTTTTTGTATTAATCCAGATTCAGTCTCTACAGGAGTCTTACGATGCCATAGCAGACCAGCGCAAAGGCCTGGCATACTTTCTGGTTCAGAAGCAGGACGATCTACTGGTAGTATTCCCCCTCTCGGACTGGGACTTATTACCGGACAAAACTCAGGTGAGTGGCAATAAGGACTCCATGCATTAACCCTAACCCTCCAAAATCCTCCAAAAATCCTCCAAGCAGTTGTTGGCGGATTTTAAAGAATTGAGGCCGAATGGCAAATAAAAATGTCTGTTGATTTTGCAGGATGTATTGTGTCAAGTTCGTAGGCTGTGCCCTGCATTGTTTATGTTCAGTCATGCATAAATGAGCCATGCATTATGCTTGATAGCAAAAAGTCTGACATTTTTGTGTCCCTGTTGTACACCTGACCTGCGTAATTTAAAATTGACGTCAAACTATTTTTTTTTTTTTGGCAGGATACTTTTGCTTTATATAATCACTCTTGCAGATAGAAGGCATTATAGAATATGTTCTGAAATTTACGAAATCTTGTATCAGGGACACAAACAAATTGGACCCTTACGGAACAACCCTGCTCCCTTCATGTCAAAAAAGTGAAATGCTGAGAATTTTTTTTTTTAATTTCAAATTTTGTAGTCATGAAAATGAAAGATGCCCATATCTTCCCCTTGAAAACATTTCTTTGAAATATATGTAGTAGACATTACAAGAAATTACATATATCAATAAATGTGAAAAAAATTTTAAAAAATAAACACCAAGTCGTTTTTTCGTTTTTTGTTTTCATTTTTTTTCCATAATGTCCTGTGCCCAGTTCCGTCTCATTTCGCCAGAACGCCTCACATATATGTTACGTAATACTCACAATTTTTCCCTCATACCATACATGTACATGTAGTTCTGTTTTTGAATGTACAGTCGAATCTCGTTAGTACAGACTCTGTTAATACAAAATTCTGGTTATAACAAACATAAAGCCTTAGTCCCGACTGTGCATATATGTGCACAATGAATGGGACTGATGTTCCTCTTGATACAAAATTCTGATATAACAAACAATTTGGCTAGGTCAGAACGAGTTTGTATTAACGGGAGTCGACTGTAGTTCTGTTTTTGAACGTAGTTAATACTTGCCTATTCTGCAGGTGATGCTGGGCTTCTGTGATCCCTGTACCCTGGATCAGTACCCTGGATGGCCCCTCAGAAACTTCCTAGCGCTAGCCGCCTACCACTGGTAAGACCAAACTGTCGTGTTTACCATTACGTCAGAGGACAAGGCATTGTCTTTTTCTTTGCTCCTATAATATAACACTCTTGTCAACAAAAGATGTACGTTTAAGGACAACAAAGAATCTGTTGTTTTCTCTTTTTGTTGCTGTCCTTGGGATGTATGTAATGCAAGAGCATATAATAATAATAAAAATACCGGAGTCTTACACAGCGCACGTATCTACCAACAATTAGGTACTCAAGACGCTAATGAATATAAATTTATTTTAAAGGGAATATACAACATTTGCAAACATAAAAAAATAAAACTACCAAGTTTTTACGAAATACCTTACTAGGATGTTAGTAAATGACAGTCTAAAGCATCCTGTAAAATTATGGCACCTGGTGTGAAGTCATTTTCAAGAAAATGGTATTTTTGTATACGTTTCCAGCGGTGGTCGGCCGACCACCGTTAGAAAAACCTAACTATTTTGCAACTACTGGTCCAAATTTACCAATTTGTTTTCAGTTCAAATTTTGTTTGCTATGGGTTACATGTTCATGAACGGGTGCAGGCCAGCTAGACTGGTTCCCTTACCTTACAATTTTCCGGCATCTGGAAATTGATCTATTTTATCTTTAGTGGAGTCAGGGAACCAGACTACTTGAACATTTTGTTTTTCTTGATTTTTCCAGCATTTTCGAACAAAAAACTTCAAACATGTCAGTGTAACAAAATTTGATCTATTATACTAACCCCTCAAATAGTTCATTTCTGAAAATTACAGCAAAAGCCAATGATGTACATTCCCTTTAAAGACAGGTAAATGAAGTCCTCAAGCCCCTAGCCTTGAACTATCTAGCTCTGTCTCCAATGCAGTGACGATTAGCTAGCACCTCTAGCGCTAAGCTTTTATCTGAGTGCATGGGAGGGTCTGGAAATAGCTCAGTGGGCAAAATGAAACAATCACGAAGAGAAGCCATTACTAGGGTATTCGATGGTTATTATGAGCATACATTTTTTTCTCATTCAAATCAACGTAACCAAAGCGAGGCTGGAAGGAAAAATAGTCTGGTTCCTTTTTGCACAAAAAACGTTATCATTGAAAACTGTTATTGGATACAGGGAACATGACTAAAATGGTGGCAGCATGATTAAGGTCTATAGAGCAGTGCGGCAGTACATCAGCCGGTGAAACATCTTTTTAATCAGCAAGTGTGTTGTCACTGGATGCTGTGTGTTTCCATTCAGCACTACAGACTCAAGAACCATTCCGGTTTTTGAAAATGGGTCTGGGAACTAGACAAGGCAATGTAAGACGCTCCCTCAAGGGGTTTCAACTTTTGATTCTAAGCTCATTATGTAGTTTGACATTTCCTTCATAACGTCTTATATAATTTGTTTTTGTAATGACTCAGGTCAGACGAGTTGCAGAATGTGCAAGTGTTGTGCCTGAGAGACCGGACCAGGGAGGGAGTCCGTACTACAGACCATAGTCTGGTGCTGGACATTCACCTGCCTTCAATGAAAGAGCTGCATGGTAGTTATGAAGACTCATCTTGTAAATTACCCACACTAAGTTGTCTGTGTTCGTAAATAGGTGTTCAGATCTCAGCTGCAAAAGCAATAGACCTTTCATTCGTTTGTAAGCATTGAGTGCCATTTTGTATGGGCTGCCAAAAGGGCATCAAGTCCTGCCTTTGTTGACAACAGATTTTGCCCAAAATTACATATTTGCACCCTCGCTACGTAAGAAAAAGATATTTGTATTAAATCTTTGGTAGCGCTTGTTGGTTATTTTTCATTTTTTTTAAAAATATACCACAATAATTTGCGTTTTCAACTATCTAATGATATATTTGTAAACATTAATAACTATGCTTGACTTTTGCAATGTTGACCTTCCATAGTTTGGAAAAAAACACTGGTTGGCAAAGAAAGGTCAACATGCAACGGCACCATAATTTGTTTTCAGATGACACTTTGCGTGCACTGGTTTAGAGTTTTTGTCCATGTGCACAGAATCCATACAATATCCCTTGTTTCTTTGCTGGAACCACTGATGCAGTGATCACCATTAGGCCCAAAAAGTCTCCAGTTTCTGGTATGGAGCTTGCCCCAAAAGTGGTGCGGCGACGCAGCTTTTCTTTTTTTTCTTTTTTTTCTTTTGAGACATCATATTACATTGAAAAAAAAAACCTTTTCATTTTGCCGACGCGCATGGCTACGGCGATGCGCGCACATACCAGAAACCGGAGACTTTTTTGGAGGGCCTTACATGAAGTACATCAGATTGCACAGTCCTCACATACTGCTTTGGCTGTCCTTGTAGAGTGTCCTAAGTGTGTCGGCTGGGAGAAGAATCAGAAAAACAAGATGGCACCTCGCAAGGTAGACCTGAGTGCCAGCATGGACCCAACACGGTAAGATTTATCGTCTGACCTGAAACTCTTGAACTGCTTATCAACTTCATACCGAAATGGCCTTGATAACGTTCAAATTGAAAATACAGGGGCGTAAAAGAAATTCTACACTCTTGTTTTGAACGAAATACTTCTTTCAAAGATTACCCCAGAAAACGCAGTTGCCAATTACTGAAAACAAAACTGTATCTGTTTAAAGTAAATACTGGCTTCAAAAGTACATTCCAAATCACACAATTTTAAAAATAGACAAACCCCTAAGATTTTGGGTTTGAGGCGTGCTTACTGTAAAATAGTAGGACTTGGACGTAAATCTCATTTTGTGGGAATAGATAACAGATTTGTGTGTTTTACTTCCTGTGATTAATATGTTTTGACAATTTAATAATTTTTCATTTCTGTTTAGTTTGGCTGAGTCATCCGTCGACCTGAATCTCAAGCTGATGAGGTGGCGTTTGCTGCCCTCGCTTGACCTAGATAAGGTAGCCCAGACCAAGTGCCTTCTCCTAGGATCAGGCACCCTGGGCTGCAACGTAGCCAGATGCCTCATGGTGAGTCTGATTGGCTGCTGCAAATTTGCATATTCAGTAGCAGACTTCAGAAGTTAACTTTATGTCGGACCTCACCATGTGAAACCCTAGTTTGGAATCGATTCGTGCTGCAAAGGTTTTATTTCACCCAGATTAAAGGTTATATACTACATTTTCAAACATAAAAAAAATACTTTAAAAAACCTAAAAATCAAGTTATTATGAAATACCTTGCTTGTCTGTAAGTGAATAATAGTCTCAAGCATATTGTAAAATAATGGCACCTGGTGTGCTGTCATTTTCAAGAAAACTGGCACTTTTGTATCAATTTCCAAGGATGGTTGACTGACCATCGTTGGAAAAAACCTGACATTTTTCAAATACTACCCTGTATTTCAGGCTCCGTACTTCAGGCTCCTGTTTTACATTCGGCTCTGGTAATTATCAGCACCCAAACTCCAAGCGGTCGTAAACAGAGTGATTAAAACCTCCCAAGGACACATTTGTTCCCTTATTAAGCACTAATATCCATGATCTTTGCAATTGATTTCCTCATGAGCAGGGCTGGGGCGTGCGAACCATCACCTTGGTCGACAACTCCACTGTATCATACTCCAACCCGGTCCGTCAGAGCCTGTTTGAGTTTGAGGATTCCTTGGAGGGGGGTAAGCCCAAGGCTCAGGCTGCCGCTGAAAGACTCAAGAAGATCTTCCCTGGTATGGTGAGTCTGGATTTGATGATTAGGGCCAATGTCATGGTGCAGTTTTAATTAAACTTAAAACATTTGCTAAGTTCAGAATGTAAATTGCTGAGCCGAAAAAGGTTACCAACCATAATGCAGTGTGATGTATGTTGCTCGTTACCGGTTCCCAGTGAATTGTCAACATGTCAATAAATACTGTCCTCATGGAGTGCTTTAACCCTAACAGAACTCAACCCATCAAACCCCAACAGCATGTTTTGTTGGAATCTGTCAAAAATATGTGTGTGCAGTTTCCCATATGGTGTTGGAATTTGCCAGGATGGGTACGGTTTCTAGTAAATCATGCTAGGGAGTTAGGGTTAAAGGGCATATACAACATTTGCAAACATCAAAAACACAAAGCTACACAATTATTATGAAATACCTTACTTGACTGAAAGTGAGTAATAGTCCCAAGCATCCTGTGAAATCATGGCACCTGGTGTGCTGTCAGTTTCAAGAAAAAGTGGAATTTTTGTATCAATTTCCAACGATGGTCAGCCGGTGAGGCTGGCACCTATGTTTTTTGAAATAGGAAGTGTTCTTGGAAAAAGTGCACATTGTGCAGAAAACGTTGACTTCTTACACCACCTGTACTGTTTTAAGTTGGTGCATGTTTTTTAAAAAGTACAAATAACAAGTATACCAAAAAATTCGAGATCTTGTGCCAAACGTTCGCAGTCAAGGTTTCTCACTTTTTAGAGATAAGTTCTTTTAAAAGACATAACAGAAGATTCTTTTCATATCAGTTTGCTCATGATTGTAATATTTGTAACTAGATTTAGTTCAAATATCCAAATACTAAAATAATACCAATTCAATCAACAACAAAAGTCTTTGGAACCTAATCAAAGTTGTTTCTGTTTTTACGTCCCATGATTTTTAGCAAGCTACTGGTCTTTCCCTATCCATCCCCATGCCTGGACACGCAGTAGGCTCCTCGGGTAAGATGTTAACAGAAAATTCTAAATTTAAAAAAGCGGTTTCTCAGAAAAATGGTTTTAGAATATTGTTTGGAAGTCGATACTAAGATAAAGTTGCATTCAATGGATGACTAACCAACAGCAACTCTCTGTAAAATTTGTGGGCGTATTCAGAACCTGATTCTATTGTTGGATGAATACAATAACAAGAACCAACCACCAATAATGTCCACAAACAAGATTTTCACCCCTACTTGTTGGCGAGTGGATGAAGAACAAGCAGAACAAAGATGGCGGCTAAGTGCAACTTGTGTTAGATTTTGTTCCTAAAACTGGAAACAGTCATTCAGAAGGAGTAGCAATAATTTAAACTATAACCGTAGAATTTGAGGTCTTGGTTCTATGATTTGAAACGGAGCACAGGGCCGGGTTGTGATTGACATGTTTTGTCTGTCTTGATTTCTTTGTTTAAAACATATAGGATCATTTGCATTTATCCCAAAAGTAATTAACCTACCAAATTATTATCAAACAGCTTACTTGGGTTAAAGATAATACTGGTACTAAACACACAGTGAAATTATTCCTTCTGGCTTGCTGTCATTTAGAAGAAATAGAGAAATGTACGTGATTTCCAACGATCAGCCAGTTGACTGATTTTTGGAAATAAGGAGTGCCATAGACAAAATTGTGTTTCGTGATCAAAAGATTGCGCGTGGTTTTTCACTGTATTATCAAGAAGTCCAATATCCACTGAGCTGAACTTCAGGTTAGGCTTTGAACATTCTTCTTTGTATGTTGAGTGGTGATATTATTGGAAATGAACAAAATGCATGCAAAGCAAAGGATCCTATTATGCCTTTAAGATTTTCTCAACTTTCGTGATCACCGTACCTTACCTTTTGTTCACCAGAGGACGTCTTGAAGCAGACCAGAGAAGATGTGGCCAAGCTAGAAGAGCTGATTGATGCTCACGATGTCGTCTTCCTCTTGATGGATACAAGGGAAAGCCGCTGGTTACCGACCGTCATCGGTGGAAGCAAACGAAAGGTATCACACAAATCCAGCAAACGGGAATTAGCAACAACTACTTGGGCAGTACCATGCTCATGATGCACGATTCTTATAACCTGCATGTACGTTCGATCTGCGTGTTCTTCTTTTGAACTTCAATTTTGAAATTCATGTCAAGTATGTACCAATTAAAAAAAACATGCTCAAAGTGTGACTCGAGTTTGCATCTGATGTACTGCATCATCGATTTTCCTTGAAATTTATTGAGTTTGTTTTCGCATGCCTTTATTTAAACACGAATAATTTTAAAACTCTTTTAAGTATCAAACCAATACTTGCCAGGGATAAAGTTCAGATGCTATTAAGCTTTCAAATGGTATAAAAAATAATGGCTGTACGTGTTTCCACACCGATGCTAGAGCCTCACAAATAAAAGTCAGGGGTATTTTGGGACGCGCTGTATAGTCGGTAACAAACTGGCAGATGATGAAAGTTATCATAAATGAAAGTAAGGGTTCTGAACAGGAGCCAAAATGACTAGAAAATAATCATTTTTATTTTCAAATCCTTTCCCTTGCAATTCAGCTGGTGATGAACGCTGCCCTGGGATTCGACACCTACATGGTGGTCAGACATGGCATGAAGCCACCAAAAGAGGGCGCTGTCCACGACACTGCCAGTACATCTGATGACGGAGCAGCGTGCTCGTCGGCTTGTGACGATCCCCTACCGTTATCGCCCAAGAGTCCGTCGTTCCTGTGTATCCCCGGCGATAAGTTGGGCTGTTACTTCTGCAACGACGTGGTGGCCCCAGGAGATGTGAGTATGAAACTACTGCATCCATGAAGAACTTACGTCATCATCGACCCCTACCTTTATTATTATTAATCATTTTTGGTAATGAAACCAAGGATTCCTCAAAAGCGCCCTAGGCACTGTAGCTCGCAAGCCTGAAGAAACCTGTGGAGAGAAAACAATGAGAAGAAATTACAGTTTTAGAGGTGGGAGGAAAAGCCCAGAAGAATATTCTGAGGAAAACCCACGGAATCAGGTAGGGACTGAAAACCCAATCCACATATTGGCCCAGGCGGGATTCGAACCCGGGTCACAGCGGTGGAAGGCGAGGAAAGTACCGCTACGCCAACCTGACTCCCCATACTCCAACCTGACTCCCCATGCCTCTCTGATGCCTCTCTTCCCTCACTCGATCCCCTCTATGAACATCTGTATCCCTTAAAGGCATTTAGGATCATTTGCATTTATCCCAAAAGTAACCTACTTAATTATTTTCAAAAAGGTTACTTGGATTTGATACTGGTACTAAACACCCCGCAGCATTATTCCATCCGGCATGCTGTCATTCAGAAGAATCAAGTGTTGTACATGTATGTGATTTCCAGTGATGAGGCAATTGACTGATTTTTGGAAATACAGCATGCTCTGAGCAAGAAGAGCCATGAAATAGGGTCGAGTTCCTTCTTTTCTTTACAACACTGACAGATGCGGTCTTCACACCGCAGGCTTGCACATGCAATGATTATGTTTATTTTAAAAATACTGCTCCTGAAGATTTAATGCCGTTTTGGGGAAAGTGGATGCGGGACTGTTTAGCGTCTGAGAAAGACACCAAGATGTGTTCAAATGAGAATGAACAAAATGCACCGCGGCAGATCTTTTCCACCGCGAACTTGATTGCAATTTTAAATCTGCTCGGTGCATTTACTATTTCAGTCAAAAATTGCCACACATTGCTGGGAAGTGAGTGATCTTAAGTGTGCGAGTTATCAAGTCATATGTTTATCTGCGGAGAATGACACATAGTTTTGATTTTCTGTTTACCAAAAGCCAAACAAATCTGTGCTAGTGATAGCTTACAGATGCAGTGGCTTAGTATATTTTGGGGGTCTAGCAATATCATTCTGGCTTGTGCAAGCATTGCTTACAGGATGTCCAGGGATCAATTTCACGGTTGCTATTAAGCAAAAAATTTGCTTAGCACAAAAAAAAGTCTGGCTTAGTAAAAGCAGGTTACCAGCCAAAACTCCATGCGATTTTCATGCTAAGCAAACAAACAGCTGAATACCAATCACAAGCAATAGGCCTATACATCACATGAACATTTGGTTGGTAACCCTAACCCACCTCACTCCTCCAAAATCCTCCTGGCGGTTTTGGAGGATTCTAGAGGATTGAGGATGAATGGTGATTGAATCAAATGAGGATTCTGGAGGATTGAGGATGAATGGTGATTGAAGCACATGAGGATTTTGGAGGATTGAGGATGAATGGTGATTGAATCAAATGAGGATTCTGGAGGATTGAGGATGAATGGTGATTGAAGCACATGAGGATTTTGGAGGATTGAGGGTGAATGAAGCACAAGAGGATTTTGGAGGATTGAGGATGAATGCATTTTGAGGCAGGACTGTCTGATGATTTTGAAGGATTTGGCGTTGGTTATCCTTCATTTAAACACGAGTGCAAAATTTTGGGATGAGGAGGATTTTGGAGGATTGAGGATGAATGCATTTTGAGGCAGGACTGTCTGACAATTTTGAAAAATGTAGGCGGAGTTGAAAAATTTTGGAGGATTTTGGAGGATTGAGGATGGTTGTAAGCAACAAGGGCCTAGGGGGTTAGGGGTAATCCTGTTTTTGCCAAGGAAGACTTTTCATGCTAAGCACTGTAAGCTCACAAGGGTGATCGCAAGCACAGAATTTCTTGCTTAGCAGGGCCAGAAAATTATAGGCCTCATTCTCAAACTGACTGGAAGGTAAAAAATGTTTTGTTCTTTTTCTGTCGACAGTCCACCAAGGACCGGACATTAGACCAGCAGTGCACAGTGTCCAGGCCAGGACTGTCCATGGTGGCTGCAGCATTGGTCGTAGAGCTGCTGGTCAGTTTGTTACAGCACCCTAAGGGGTAGGTCACTTCAAATTTCTTCTGCAAATTTTTCAATTCTGTCTTAAATCAAATAAGCAAATCCATGTGCAAATCCAATTTTGGCCCTTTTTAATGTTGTTGAATTGTGACTTTTATAACAATTAATGTTTTTTTTGGTCTGGAAATAAAGCTAATAAATAGGCAAGGCTTTTAAATTAAAGGGTATTTGTGTTTAACGTAGTTGAGGCAGGCCAAACAATAAGTTGGGAGTCATCTCAACCATAGTTAGGACAGTGCTGCACTTAGGCCACAACATATTCATAGTCTTCTCTTCTTTTTGTATGTTAGAGTTACGGTTATTCAAATAGCTGTCAAGGGTCTGTGGTTCACTCCCATCAAAAAAATAGATCCACCTTGAAATCAGTTGTCATTTTTGGGAGTCGGGGTGGTGCAGGCTACTTTCCTTGGCACCTTGGCCAACACATTGATTGGGTTTTCGGTCCCTGTCTGGTTCAATAGATTTGCCCCTGAAATATCATTCTTGGTTTTTCCCTCACTTCTCACGGCCTAAAATCCCCGAAAATGTTTTGTTTTGTTTTGGATTGTTTACTTACCCTATTTCAAAGGTCTGGTTGAAAGAAAACTAACCTAATGTCTTACCATTCCCGAGAAAAGATGGGGGGAAAAAAATGGTTGTTTACATTGGACGCGGTGGACATTTTGTGGGATACACATACATATATCCTGCCATGTCTTTTCAATGTACGGTACATATTGCGCGTGTGACACATAATACACACAGCACCAATACACAAACATTGTTTCTCGCACGTCTGCAGAGTGCGATGCACTGGTGGAACGTGTGCGGCAGGATTCATGACTAGCGCCCAACAGCTCGATTTTTGAGAGTCAAATTGCTGACCTCCGAAATTCATTCTCGCAAGAATAACATACAAGCGCCCAGTTTTTATAGGATGGTTGTGTGGATGTTTATATCCTACTTTTAAATGCTCCTTCCATTAACATCATTTTATGTAAAATGTGTTTTATAACCCAATGGGCTCCGTGCGCCAACGAAAGAGGGCGCCCTTTTACCTAGCAACAACGTCCCATGGGCGGGACATTAAGCTAGTTGACGCCCACCGTTCCTTGTGTGTGACGCACATACACCAGGGGATTTGTACTATGTACGCACAGTGGTACAGCCGCACGTTGCGGCCAAATTGCAAAATTACTGGGCCCAATTTCACGGCGCTGGTAAGCACACGATTTTCCGCTAACAGAGCCTCCGTCTATTTCATAGAGATCGTAAGCATAAGCACAGCAAAAGGCATGCTTACTTCAGAGGAAAAATTTGCTTAACTTAGTGACGTAACAATAGAAATCTCCATGCACGCGCGACCGTTAGCACACAAACACCGTGAAATAGTGCTTAAGGTTAGCAAATTTTTCTGCTATGCTAAACACAACTTTTCTGCTAACTGTTAAGCAGCGCCGTGAAATTGGGCCCTGTTCCTTCTTTTCCGGTAAGGGGGTACTTGTGAACGGAGCGGATAGGGCCTATTCTAGGCAGTTATGTCCCTTAAATTGAACATTTTCCAGACTTCAAAGCTGTTATGCCTGTACAATTTTAACGAAGCCTTGGTTTCAGAAAGGGTATCATTTAAGAATTGTATTATACGATTATATTGTTTTCTGTTGACTTTTTTTTTACAGAGGCTACGCTCCAGCTGACACCAGTGCCAAAGATGATCACCTGACGACCTCACTAATCTCCCCACTGGGCTTAGTGCCACACCAGGTAATTCACTTTGTCTTTTCCAAACCATGAACATGTTTGTAATGATGTGTAAAATGCGTCAAAACGGAAGAATCAAATAACAGTGTAGCACACAGTTGGGTCTGTCCACACTAACGGCTACAACTTATAACTTTATGGGTGAGACATGGGAGGTGGATTTCATAGCAGGTGTTTTGTTTATAATTTTTGTTTTTTAAACATTCCTGTATTATCTGTGATTGCACTGATAAATAATTAGGCTGATTCACTGGAAATGTAGGAAATTACTCGGCCATCTTTAAGATGAAATGAAGGATAATGTTCATAACATGGACGGACACTCTTGAATCATACTGTATGTTCTTGTTACAATAAATCCAGCCCGTGTTCCATTTATATTGCATATTCAAAAAAGAATTGGTATCATTCAACATTAAAGCAACCTGTTAAGTATTTATGAAATTAGGATGCGACTTGATACATGTTCATAACATGGACAGAAATTTGTGACAATTTCTGTCCCAGTTGTGAACATGAAGTCTTGAAGATGTGCCCACCCTGTAGTTAAAAATACCAAGAGGATTAACCCGAGATTGGCCAGTGGCAATCTCTCAATGGGTAGCTTTACATATTACTAGGAACAAATTTAGGGTAATTCACGTATTTTATTTACTGCTTCCCACCACTTAAAAATGAAATGTCTGTCCATGTTATGAACGTTAAATCTTGAAGATAATCCTCTGTAATTTCTGGAAACCTGAGAAATTGATCAAACTTGTTGGTGGGCAATGTTCTTACCAGGATATTGGATGAAGAAAGACAGAAAACTTAACATATTACTTCATGTATCGACTCCTGTCCATGGTTCCCTCTAAATGTCACACTTTTGTAACTGTTAGTGTGGACAGACCCATTACCATTCCTTGAAATACAATCTCCTCAAATTATATTGTGTATACGTGACACTTTGGAAACATTGAGTACACATACATGACATACTGCTTGGATGAAGATCAGGGCATGAAAATAAGTTAGTAGGACTTAAAGGGACATTTCCTCCTAGAATGCGCCCAATTGGGCTACAAAACGCATTTTAAACGGAATGATATTAATTGGAAAGAGCATTTATAAGTAGGATATAAACGTCCCCACAACCATCCTTTAAAAATGGGTGTTTTTGTGTTATTCTTATGAGAACCATGCGAGAACGAACTTCGGGGGTCACAATTTTGACTCTCAAAAATGGAACTGATAAAATGGTCCCAAATTTGAACAAATCCCAATTTCATTGACACTTAAACAGTGACGTTGTGTTTATTTTCAGGGAATTATTAAAAAAAAAATCCTTTTGATTTTCAAGGTTATTGTTGGGATTTAAAGTTGAAGCTTTTTGGATGCTGTTAAAGATGTACCACAATAATGTCTGCGAATTAATAGTCAATTTGTATCAGAATGTATCGATTAATTATATGTGCTGGAAAATAGAATGCTGCCATTGACAATGAGTGCACTCTGAGTCTCCATTTACTAAAAATCTATTTTGAAATTTCAACCAATTCCCAAGTTGATTGTTATCAATGTTTTAGGCACTAGTTGTCTAATCTACTATCTATCATTTCATTTTTTTTTCATTTTTTTTTTTAAATAAGTACATTATTTGGTGGCAATTACAGGGTTATGTAATTTCTGTGACAGACTTGTAAGAGTTCAATAAATAAACCTGAAAATCTGATACATCCATCATCTAGTAATGGTCAAGGAGATTACAGACGAGGAGTTGGATCATTTCTCTGAATCATTAATTAGGTGTCATGGTTTATTGGCTCTGTCACGGACATTACACCGCGTTTCATAATGCTTGAATTGTCAGTAGGCTCAAGACATCATCAGTACTCAGCAGGGATTTTCCTGGAAGGGTAGTCAAGAATTGAAACATTCACACGATTTGGGGCTTTCAAAATGGATTTAATTCTTTAAGTGTGCTATTTCTCGCCCGCGAAATTCTTCGGCATGAAGTGATAAAATTAAATGGCTATTTGCAGTTGCCAATTTCCCCTGTGCCGCTCGTTCGCACTCCACCAAGGCTTCGGGGGAAAAAAAACTCTGATGAGACAATAATAAGACAAGAAATCTTTGCAATAGATCACACATATCACTCAGCTTGGTGACTCCCAATACACGTGCCGACTTCCCCAGAAACTACAGCATTTATGCCTGGCGCTGTACAAATAAATGAAGCGTTTGGCATAGCTGGGCCGACACCAGCTCTGATTTGCGGTATCTCTCTCTCTCTCCAACCCCCCATCCCCTGTCACCCCCCTCCAAGCCGTAAGAATATACACTGGTGCTGCATGGAGCAATGTTATGAATGATGTCTGTTGACGTTATGTGAAATACGTTTGTGTATACAGTGGCAGCTGTGCACATGACAGCGTCGATGACATGAAAGATATATGCGAGTGTGAATGTGTGAAAGAACATGGTGTTATTAATGATTCAATTATCCTTATACATTGCCCATTCATGTTTCTTTAATACCACAGAAAGGAGTATTAAAGTATCTAGCTATCGGTGTGTGTAAACTGTGGAAGAATGAGCTCAACAAATGCCCAAGTTTCGTAGAAAAACTGCCAAAATATACAAATGTTGGCAAACGTGGCATCGTAAATTAAGTGTGTTTAGCCGGGTGGTATTTGTGGTGTCAGTATGGGCTCGGTGTACTAACAAGAGAGGGCGTTTTTTCACCACGCGACCCATGGCGTCTTCATGTAAGCGTCAGGAGTCAGCGATGCGCTCTAATGTCTAGTGGTCTCCCCCAACTCTCCCTTTCCTAGCGTTGAGGGGGTACCTGTGCACGGAGCCCATAGCTCGGTTTAAAATTTGCAAACATAATCCTCAGTCTCCGGGAAATAAATGCACTGCTTACTTCAGTCTTCAGTGATTTTTGTTGAGAATGCCATGAACAATTGAAAGGAACGGAGGATCATTTGCATTTCATGAATTTTTTTTGTTTCGTTTGAAGCAACAAAGTTTCTCAAAATCTGAAGAAATATGCATAACAACTAACCTGTTGAAACTGTTGCTCAGTGGATACCCTATACATCTGGAGAAAACAGGGAAAACCTTTCAGATTTTTTGTTATAGTCTTGTTAGTGGATTCCATTGCTAGCACTTCTGATTTAAAAGGTTCTGTTTCATCATTTTGAACACCCTCTGCTGTACAGGGTGAGTCAAAAAAACGAAACGATTGTTTTTGTGAAGCTCTGCATGTAGCACTTTCAAAATCTAGCATATGAAAGCCCAATTCACAAGCTTTATTTTAGTTCAAGAATCAGCCAAATCACTCATGTGCTTTTCAAGTTACGGAGTTTTAAACACCACCACCGTTTTAAAGTTCTTTCCACGGATCAAAAAATGTGAAAACAATTCACACATGTGATTTGTTTTCGTTTTGCTGAAAGAACACAAGGTTTTTGTGATCCGTGGACAGAACCTTAAAATGGTGGTTGTGTTTAGAATTCCGTAACTTGAAAAGTACATGAGTGATTTGAATGATTCTTGTACTAAAAGAAATCTTATAAATTGGGCTTTAATATCCTACAATTTGAAAGTGATACATGCAGAACTTCACCAAAACAATGGCCCAGACATTTGGGTTTGGTGATTTTTAAACTCACCTGTACAATGTGAAGATCAAATTAAAAAGAACTTATTCCTTCGTTTATTGTCGCAGATCCGTGGTTTCCTGTCTCGCTACCACAGCCTGCTACCTTCCAGCATGGCCTTCAATATGTGCACGGCTTGCTCGCCGATTGTCCTGGAGCGCTACGAGACGGAGGGATTTGAGTTCCTCCTGCGAGCCTTCAACGAGCCTCATTATCTGGAGGATTTGACCGGCCTGACCAAACTGCATGCGGACACGGAAAATTGCGATGTAAGTCTGATCACCTGAAATATGTGCAAGTAACACTGCCAGAAAGCTGCTGTTTGTGGTGCAAACTATGTTTTTTTATCTAAAACTTTTTTTTACTAATCAAATTTGACCATTTAAGCATCTTTTTCATGTTTTAGCCCACATTAAACGGTTTATGTCACCACTTCTACATACATCATGTTTCAGGAGATACATCACATTGACCACAACATCCAATACATGTATTTAAACAAATGTAACATGGCCTATCCGCTCCGTTCACAAGTACCCCCTCAACGGCAAAGAGAGTACAGTTGGGGGTGACCGACCGACGCCATCTTGCCTGACTGCAATTCATTTGCCGCGAAGCGCGGCCATTGCGTGTACGTAGTACAAATCCCCCGGTGTACGTGTGTCACACACAAGGAACGGTGCGCGTCAATCAGCGAAATGTCCCACCCATGGGACGTCGTTGCTAGGTAAAAGGGCGCCCTCTTTCGTCATTGCACGGAGCCCATAGTTGATTTGTGCCCTTGTAAATAAGATTTTTCTATAAACTTTTTTGATGTGAATTTATTATAATTGTTTTGCTTTTGTGTGTGTGTTTTAAGGTTCTGGACTTCAGCGATGATGAGAGTATCACATCCCAATAGTAAAAAATTCCCATCATGCTGTGCTGCCCCAAAGGAGCAATCCCACAATCCTTTGGGTCATCCTCTTAAACTGATGCCGAAAGAGAGTTGAGGCGACGTACGTTCTCTAAAGTTAGGTGTTTTGACTAAAATTGGTGGTGGAAATTTGTACTGTCAAAACACAAACGGACCCTTTTATGGATAGATCGGAAGTGTGAAGTGAAGGGACGCTGGGCGTTGCGTCCCAGGATAGTTTGCGCAACGAACAGGGATTTTGTGCAGCGAAAAGTGTGCCACCGTGCAGCACAGTAGCGTAGGGAATAGGTGGGAGGGAGCGTTTTAAACCCCCCCCCCCCCTCCATGATGAAAAAGGGGGACGGAAGGGAAGGGTTTATCTTGCATCGTCCAGCATACTCCACTGCCCATTTCCTGTCCACCGACCAACTGTAAAAGGGTCTTTTGGTCAGTTATCAAGCGGAACATTTTGGTGTTTAAGTAAATGATTTCTTTCAGTATACTTTGGGTAAGGAATAATAATAAACATGTCGGGAATCCGTGTCCACTTTCCCTCATTGGGGAAATAATCCAAAGTTGATGGCTAAAGTTGGCAACAGTTTATGGTTGATATAAGCATGGTAAGTGTCGGTGGCCATCTTGTGAAAGGAGCCTAAAAAGCTAGGCGTTTTAGACAGTGGAAGAAATTCAAGAAATATTATGGATCTCTTGGTTTTGGCATCTTTTTTTTGTAATTATGCTGTTATTACTGTAATACGCTTGACCAAAGGCTTATATTATATTTTATACAATGCCTGAATAAATCCTTGTCATCCGATTGGTTGGTCGTTGATCGGATGTCATTGAATTGTTCGTCCCAACCCATGGCACGGCCGTACTGCAAAAATAAAAATTTCATTGCACAGTCATACTATTGGTGGTTCTGACCAATCAGATGACGAGGATTTGTTCTGGTTACAACAAATAATAAATATTTCGCATTCATGCAGTGGAAAAGAATTATTTCATTTAGTAACAGATGGAATGGCTTCTCGTAGAATGGAACATTCTGTTGTCACCTCATGAAATTATTCTTACCATTGCACTCATAAACGCTCATTATTTGTATATGGATGAACAGTATACATAGAAAACCAACTCATGTAAATGACTGGTGTAAGGCATAGATACACTCAACCAAAAAAGAAAGTCCCCCCTTCCAATACTTTTTTTGTCTAACTCAATAACTACTGAGCACCTCTTGCTCAAATCGACTAATCAGTACAGAAATTCCTTAGCAATCCAGCCATACTCTTTATTTGGCCCAAAACAGTGATAATGTGTGCCAATTTATGACAAAAGAAACCGAAAACAGTTGCACTTTTGTATAAGTGCAAGTTGTGGTTCACACTCACCTTGCACCTATACAAAAGTGCAACGTTTTTATGGTACCATTTATCATAAATTGCATAATTTTGTACATATTATAACTGTTTTGGGCCAAACAAAGAGTATGACTGGATTGCTAAGGAATTTCCGTATTGATCAGTCGTAATTTGAGCAAGATGTGCCCAGTAGATTTTGAGTTAGACAAAAAAATATTAAGGGGGGACTTTCTTTTTTTGGTTGAGTGTATTTGACAGATTATCCGCCTTTTGATAAAATACAATGATTTATAAAATGCGCCTTGCTGCTGAGTGTGATGTGAATTGTGAACGCACTGTGACCAAAAATTAAACAGACCTTGAAATACATTTAGCACTAAATACTTTGAACTGAGTGTTGAAAAGCAGAGCATTTTAACAAATAATTATGCAACTGTTGGAATTTTTCCCCCCCAATAACTTCAGTTAAAAAATAACAGCATTTTAAGTAAATGCTTTCTCAATGGCACTATTGTGTATATAATTGCAAAGATTGCCAAACAGATAATTTTCATGAATGAGAAACGTAGGCTTCAACAAAGTTATTTGTGTGTATATATACTTTTTTTTTTAAATTCAGGTAAACTTCAGTGTTGATCTTGTTTATTGATTTGATTTCATTATTAATCTTGTAGTTCTGTATTTTCATGGAACTAAAGTTTCATTAAAAAGTAAAGAAAGTATATACTGATTGTTTTAAATGAATTTCAAGAGAAAAAAAATATTCACTGAACATTTTAATGGAAAAATATCGTGGTATTTGATTACCTTTTTGGTTCTGAACAATGACTTTAGTACAATTGAGGTGAAAGTAGAAGCTTTTTAAATTACCTAAAACTCTTGATTAGCTGAAATCAAGCTTATCATTTTCCAATTCAGTAGTTTACTACCATTTTGTTCAATATACTTTATTCATTAATTCGGATTTAATCTTGCCATTTATCTGTTATTTCTTAAAGTGTCCATTGAAATTCTTTTCACCAAAGTCTAAATGAAAATTGTAACTTGAAGGTAGTATATAACATTTGCTGTAATTTTCAGAAATGGATTGATTTTGGGGGTTAGTATTTTATAGCAAATATTGCTACACTGACCTCTTTAAAGTTTTGTGTTCATAGATGCTGAAAAAAAGGGGAAAATACTGTTCTTGTAGTCTGGTTCCCTGACCCTACTTCAGATGAAACGGAGCAACTTATAGACGTCGGGAATTGTCGGGTCAGGGAACCAGACTAGCTGGCTTGCATTTGTTCACGGATGTGTAACTGATTGCAATCAAAATTTGGACTTACTAAATTTGGTAAATTGGGGGCAGTATTTGAAAAAACAGTTCATTTGTTTCCAATGATGGTCGGCTGACCATCATTGGAAATTGATTTAAAAATTACATTTTTCTTAAAAAATGACAACACACCGGGTGCCATGATTTCACAGGATGCTTGAGACAATTGGTATTTCATAATAATTTGGTAGGTTTTTTATGTTTGCAAATGTTGTATATTACCTTTAAAGTTGAAATTCCATTTTGGGAGAAATAAAGAGAAGTAAATTTTAGCATTCTCATGCTGAAAATGTGTCAACAAATTGTGTCTTGTGTGATTAAACTTTTAATTCACCTGGCAGTTTTCAAATGGCGAAAACTACAAAATAATTCAGTTTGTGACTGCTGTTGGGTGAAATGTTTGTTTATTTTTAAACAAATATGCAAAAATTTAGCCTGGTATTGAAATCACAAAAAAGTAGAGACGAAAATTGAATCAGTCACGTCCAATCTTATTAGAATTTCATGTTGCAATGTGTAACTTCTCCACATGTATTTTTCCACCCCTGGAGCAAGGCGAAGCAATAAATTGAAATTAATCAGAGTAAAATGATCCGTCGGAGTGCGATGGTGGGACGCTCACATAACAGCCCCAGGCTGTTATTTTTGAAGCCCGTCATGTTTTCTGCACAGTATGGATACATGCTGACTGGGAAATATTTGGAATAGTGTTAGTTCCCCCCCCCTCCTCCCCCCCCCCCCCCCCCCGGGCCCCGCACCACACACAAACAACGAGCTTAGCTTGTTCTGAAGGGCTTATATAGAGAGTTGATGACGAAAACTATAGTTATTGTGTAATTGTGAATTATGAGGGATCTAATGGATAGTTAGTATGGTATAAGGTGCTATGGGTCCCTTGCAGGGATGGGTTGAAAGATGCTGTGGGTCCTTTGCAGGGCTGGGTTGAAAAGCGCTGGGGTCCTTTGCAGGGCGGGTTGAAAAGTGCTATGGATACTTTGCAGGGTTGAAAGGTGCTATTGGTCCTTTGCAGGGCTGGTTTGAAAGGTGCTATGGGCCCAGAGTTGGGTTAAAAGGTACCATGGGTCCCTTGCAAGGCTGGATTGATAGGTGCTATAATAATAATAGCAGGCATTTATGTAGCGCTTTTATGCTGCAACGGGGTATCAAAGCGCTTTTACAACTATGGGTCCTTTGCAGGGTTGGGTTGAAAGTTACTATGGGTCCTTTGCAGGGTGGTTGAAAGGTGCTATGGGCTCTCATTTGCAGGGCTGGGTTGAAAGGTGCTATGAGTCCTTTGCAGAGCTGGGTGGACAGGTTCTATGGGTCCTTAAAAACCTAAAATATTAATTTTATTCCACAAAACCAATCAGTTTCGTCTTAGTAGGATAACATTTCCGTCTTGAACTGAGTCTGATAAAACTGGAGATTCCGTCATATAAAAGATGTGACTAAAGAACATTTTTTTTTCCTCCTCTGTTATTCCTCTAAAAAGCTTTGTTCTTCACTATTATATATCTAAACGCCACAACTTCAAACTGTATTTAATTTTTGGGGTAGTGGACATTAATAATACCCAAGCAAAGTTGATCAATTCCGCCAATAATTATTACCGGACTTCCAAACAGTTAAGAGTGAGTCTTAAAGAGAGAGAGAGAGAGAAAGAAGATCTCCGCTGGATGCAGCTAGATCCAAACTGAAGGTAATTTTGATTTGTAAAAACAAACAATGTATGTTATGCTAGCCTGGACTTTCAATCAAGAGAACGCTGTAAATCATGTCCACAGTTGTCATATATATTCCTTGTCAAGCGAACCATCTGGCCACATCGTGTCGAACTAAAATAAAACCGTGTGGTTAATACTCAATATGTTTTATCAACTACATATCGGCAATGGCAATACATGTATTTCAATTTGGCCTCTACTCGCTTATCGTTAGATCCAAAGAGAAGCTAATTCATCAACAAAAATTTAGATAACTTTTCTGTTTCAGTGAGATCGCCACTATGGTTTTAAGGACAAACATTTTTAGGGACCAGTAAATTTCAGGGGACCTGTTTCCGAGTTTGTGTTTCAGGTTTGTTTTTCCAAGGCTAATAAAATTACAGACTTTTATTTTTAGAGTCTGCCAAATTGTAAGAAGTTCTTAAAGAAACCTTAAAGAAGCAGCGTTGTGATCGAGTTCATCATCACAAGTCCTCCAGTTTCAATTCAAATCACAAGCTATTTCACTGAATTGTATAACAAACACATTCTTTGTCATTGTTCACCCCCAGTTACATGTGAAAGGACTTGTGATTTACTAATGAATGACTTGCGATGGACTCGTGGTGGACTTGACACTGCTTCAAAAATAACTGGATTGAACAACCTTAAAATCTGCTGTTCGCTTAGTACCTCAACATTGAAGTCGAAATAGGCTGAGGACCAAAAGCCAATAAACTTTATGCGTTAAGGCGGAGATACCGACAATAGTTTTTGTATTGTTTGGGTTTCGGGGCATTAGTACACTTTTCTGTGCGTGCACTGTTTACTAAATTAAAATAATAAAGAACTACCTATATGAGACACATGCATGCAATATCCCAAACCTCACTAAGCTTCATCCCTGACTTCGGCTTTGAGATTATGATGTCACTGATGACTTCGGGACATCACTGGCTCAAACCTTAATCCTCCTCGATCCTCCAGGTGGTTTTGGAGATTTGGAGGATCGAGGCTCGAATGCTGGGAAAAAAGTGTTGGAAAACTTTTAAAGGATTAAGGCAATGGTCACCTTCCACCGAACACATTCAAGAAATAATGGTGATTATGGGTAATTGAGGTTGAATAAAAAAATTACATGGTAGCAATTGGAGGATTGTGCAGAATTGAGGACGTTCCTAACCAAAAGGCCCCAGGGGGTTGCGGTTAATCTTCATCAGCAACGTCATCCATTTTTATGAGAGTTCTTGTTTTTTATAACAGCATTTCCCATTTTCTTTGGAAATTACCAGAATTTAAAATAATTTCAGAGTACAAATGAAGTAAAAACCAGCACCAGAGCCGATGTTTAATTGGGTGAACCCCCTACAGTCCCTTTAAAAAAATATTCAGCTCTCCACCATTGACAGAAATCCTGACGTGACGAAAGCACACTGGTTCCCATGGCAGCATAGTTATCATTCCTGGATTTCCATTGGCCGAATGCCACAGCTTGATGCCACACGCAGACCCCCCAACCAAATCACCCGGATCAGACGGCAAATCAAATTGTCTGAATTCCGCACGGCAACAACTGTCCCCCCAAAAGAGTTGGTGGGGGGATATACCGTCTGTGATGTAATGATGATGGAGTTGCAACATTGGCAAAATAGGGGAAATTTTGGAAGGGTTTTCAATATTTTGTTTTATAAATAACATCGACTTTTTAGGATTTCAATTTTTCAAAGCACCGGGAATTGTCAACATTTGGAAGAAATGCTTGTGCATTTTATACCGGGAAACAGAGATATTTCAAACATCTGCATGCCAGCAAACCCTTGAAGAAAAGAGAAAGATATGTCATCTGTTTTCAAAATACTGTCGAGGGGACTCCAATCCCATCAGCTTTTGAGTAATTGAAAATTCATCCTGTTTTTTAACTAAAAAATATAGACCTTATGCATAGCAGCCATCTTAGACGGCAATGTCTCTGTTTTGCTGGGATACGCACAAGTGATCATTTTGTGCATTCATTGTTACTGAATTAAAATAATGCGCTTAAAGATGGCCGCTATACAAAAGGTAGCTTTGAATTTTAATTCCATCATTTTAGACAGTTTAATGGTTTTTAAATTGACCCTAACCCTGCTAAATCCCGACTAAACCAGCAGATTTTGCAGGATTTTGCAGCATTAAGGAAGGATCAACGCCGCATCTTGAGACTTGAAAGTACAAAGACTCAGTGTTGCACTTGAGTCCCAAGTCAAATCTCAAGTTGTGAGCCATTACAAAGGTATTGTGATTGTCCCACTAACCCCCCCCCCCTTACCCGTGTCCCAACTTTTGAATCGACTTGTGATTATTGACACAGCATGGACTCCAAACAAAGAACTACAGTGTACGTGTAGTTGGTTTTCAAATAACATGTTCAAGGACAAGTAAAACCGATTCAAGAAATTCTCATTTATTGGAAAAGTGTATCTCTCTTTTTCTTCTATTTTCCAAGACAGGATATTAATAACATTAATATAACTGGGACTATATAATTATGAAGCAACAATAATATTTACAAATGAAAAAAAATAATAACTGGCTCTCTGACAAAATGTAACATGCATACAGTTCACCGCTTACATTCAAACCTCTCCATTAAAAAGCAGATAAATCCATAAGGATTCTTCAAACAAACTTTTTTTTCCCAGAAATGGACAAGTTTCTCAGGTTGTTGTTCAAGAGGTATGGTTTATGATAGGTTGTAAAAAGCATCCCGTGAAAATAAACATTAACAATTTGGAAACAATTAGTTTGATATATATATAATATATGGCATACTGATATATACAACGCACTTTTGCAATAGATAATTACAGTTATATACAGAGAAAGGGTCTATGTTTCTTTGTGTGGAATATGAAATATTGAAAACATTGAAATATTGCTCTGCGAATATAGTTGTCGAAGTTGTTGCTTCAATAGTAAGATATCAGACCTATACGACAATAAAATGAGCTTTCAATTCTTGCATTTTTTTAAATTCAAATCCAAATTTGGCGTACACATTTCAATGAAGAAAAAATATGGAACCCATAACTTAACTTCCAGAATGTGAAATATTTCAACGAAGATTTGGTCTCTTTGTATCGGAAGAAGGTATTGTTGCCTTGGAGTTTTAATTCAAAAAAAAATAAAAATATGTGTACCAAAAAAAATACAGCACAGTACGACTGACACGCCCATAAGCCGACAAGAATTTCCGTAGCATTTCTATTTAATATTGAATAATTTCAGGAATGTGTTAAATATTTGACTATTATGTACACACTTCGATTTTCAGAAATTTTTTTTCTCACCCTATTCAGTTACTTTAGACCCTGCATTTGACAAGAAGCACTGACTGAAATAAACACATTCTTGAAATAATTCACTTGTATGTCCCCAAGGCGGGGAAAAAAAACCTTGTGCCTCTTTACGATCCAACTCAATAAATCAATGAATATTTACATAAAAACATCAAACAATTTGTACAAAATTGTATACATTTTTTTCCCCTATGTTTCTCATCACCATGAAAAGGTTGTGTTTTTAACGACTGTTGCCTTCCACAGGGCCAAATTGCTACTAAATTTACGGGTTATGAAATTTTTTAAACTTTGGAGAAAGAATTCACGGATATAGAATAGATCTAAAATTTGCATTTACAATGAATTACCATGGATTAAAATGTGGGTGAAAAACAGGGGACACATGTAGGTAATTGTAAAATTCCATCAATAACAAAAGGTCAACATTTCAGTAAAGCGAGGTATCGTCTTGAAAAACAAATCAACTATGGTTGGAAATTACAAAATGGATTCAGTGTACCGGATTCTATACTTAATACAATGCATGTACACCCTTTCTTTCTGCAAAGTATTTGGTGAATGAAAGAAAAAAAGTTTAATATTTCTTTTTTAAATTGGTCATTTGATGTCAAGGCATTTCATCTAACAAGGTTTAAGTTTTCTGGTTGAAGTTTGAAAAAATCTATATTATGCAGAAATCTGAGTTGAAATCTGTTAAATTTGTTAATAAGTTTCCTGATGAGTAAACACGCAACTTCTTTCAGTACTCTCGTATTTCCAATGAGTAAAAAAAATCACTCTATCTGCCTGAAACTTAGTCTATGGAAAATCCACTTGCACACAAGCGTCTATGACATACACACAGGTTTGGCAATTAATTATGCAAAAACAAGACTGCTTCTTGACCTCCAGAGTCTGACCATTCAGCAGGCGCCTTCTATCAGGTCTTTGGTAACCTGTTGGCGTATTACAAAACATGGCAGCCAATGGACCAATCAACAGCTTAGGCCAAATTTCGGCTCAAAATGGCATCACAATTTCTGAAGTCGACTCCAATTGGCTGGCGCGCAGGGTCGCATAAAATTTGCATGCTCGGATATAGCAGACGTTCGTAGTGCGGCTCTGCACACATGAATGTCTGATCGTCAGACTACCTGAAACTGGGGACAACTTTTGAAATGAATAGACTGAGTTTCAAATCCAGTAATGTCTTTTTCCAAATTCTGACACTCATTTTCCACTCAAAAACTTGTGTGATCCCCACTTTCTTGGCTGCTTGAATGACTCGGGCATGTCATTGGCCTGGACCTTCAAATCCCTCCCAGCAACTTCAAAAAGTTATGGGAAGATTTTATGGGAAACAGTCAAAGAGGCTTGATGCCATGTTAGAGTGCCATTGGCCTCCAGCTATATGGTAGATTTTTGGAGGATTTAGAAAGGCTTCCTGCCAAAAAAATATGCTTCAGGAGATGGGGGTAAATCTTCCAAGAATCGCATCACCTATTAACAACATACTTTGGTCTCTCACAAGGGTAAGATTGGGGGAAAATTCTTAAAAATCCACAAAAATATCGACAAAGGGTTTGAGAGTCACTGAGGGCCCCTAGAGCAATGCAGGGTCTGTGATATTTTCCATATTTGCCAAAAGGCACCCCTTAAGATTTTTTGTATATCTATAAATATTTTTATAGGTAAAAACACCTTTACGGTAAAACCTCAGGAATTCCCAAAAAGATTCCTTAAAAATCCCGAAATCAGGAAATGTCACCCCTGCTATATTGAATTCATGTTGTACACTCTTACACATACCAATACAAACATTCCATCCTTTCGTCGGTCGCACCACTTATCGTAACAGTCAGACTCCTATTTTTGGTTTAGGGAAAAGCAAGCCCGTAACGATACCATGCAAATAATGAGGAATTGCACAATCTGAACTTGGCTGACAACTCAAGCATTGTGCAGAGAGTGGAGTATTAATTGTTCGATCCCATTTTGTGTTACGTGGACATGACCGATGCTGGGTGAACCAGGCGGGGGGAGGATGGGGGCGACTGCCTGGCCGGTTCCATCACGTTCTTGATCTGCGGCCACTTGTCGCCCAGCGCCTTGGCAAAGTGGTCGTCCACGGAACCCGTGATCATGGTGACCACGCCGTCGGCGGAGCCGGTGGGCTTGGAGGCTCCGTAGTTCTCCTTGTAGTCCTTGCCGAGGCTGCGGCGAAAGTGCTCCTCGATTACAGGGTCACAGACACCTGGTTGAGGGAGAGAAAAGGACGGTGTCATTATTAGAATTCAACTCCTTGGCTAGGATGTTGTGTATAGACAAATCCGGCGGCAGCCAGTTTCTGCAGTGGCGCCAGGCTCACCCGAGTCGTGATTGGGGAGTACGCACACACTCCGGGCTCCTTCAACCAATAGGAATACCAAAATGCGCGCGCGCCTCGTCTTTAAGAACGCGTGCAGCATGCGCATGAGCGTAACACCACCGCAGTAAAAGTAAAGCTTTTAATTCTGGTCGCCAGATTCTACTATAGCACAGAAATCGTAAAACTTCTATGTAAGTTATTGTTAAAAAAGATGTTATCACCCTTGACATGATGAAGATCTTTTTTTGCAAATTGGACGACAATGCTTTTTTGTGGTATAGAAAGTTTCTTGGCCAAATTATCGGCTAAAAAATTTTTTTGGAGGAAAAAGCGTAATTGTTGATACCAAACCAAAAATTATAGATCTCAATTACTTAAGCACTTTACATGTTAGCATTTTCACTGACAAGATCTTCAAAAATGAAATCTAAACCCTAACCTTTACAGATCCTTGAACATTCCCATATAAACATGTAGGTTTTACATAAGAAGGATTTTGAAGGATTGAGGAATTTTTATCTGATGGGCTCCGTGCACAAGTATCTCCTCAATGAGTACAAAAGGAGAGTTGGGGAGGACCATGCACTGGAAGTGGAATTAGAATGCATTGCTGATAATGCCTGACGCTCACGCGAAGACACTACAGTCTTGTGCACCTTGAGAATAAAATGAGTCGTACGTACTTCATTGCAAACATGTGGAAACAGTACGAGTACACATAGCGCGTCCAACCCATGGCCAATGAAAGTGGTCAAAAAGCGCCCTGTTCGAGCACATGTATAGTCCACAGGACTAAATGTCTCGTCAGTTTTATGTACAAAAATGTGCCGCAGTGGCACTTTGGAGGATTTTGGAACAGATCCAGATGCATGTAGATATGCATAAAGCTCATTACACTAACAATAACTTCATGAAAACAAATTCACTGTGTTTGATTGTTTGTGGACAAAGACCTAGTAGCCAGATGGGGCAGATGTTTTGTAAAACTCCTCACATCTATGTTTGTATGTAAGCAATTCACTGCGAGCACATGGAAAGACTTATGTTTGTCATTGTCCTGGCCACCCCCCCCCCCCCAGCCCAAGAAAAGGTCACATATCTAGGGTCAAGTTCTGCATGCAAATGTGAGGAAAACTGATAAATCATATCTGCTGAGCCCACTCCATCAGACATCTGAATGGCACACCGGAGGGCTCACAAATGCTGGGAACTGATCCAATTGCTACGCTTTGGAATGCCGAATGAAAAAGAACGGATTTCTGTCCCTTACTTTCAAGTTAATCTGATCAGACATTCTATTTTTTTTTTCATTGACTAAAGGGCCTTGTGATGAAAATCCAATAATAGATTGTCCTGGCGAATCTAACAATGTAAATTAACTTCAAATAATGACAGTACACACGTATATGTGAATGTTAGTTTTTGTTGTGTCCTTTTACTTTTTAGTGAATCTTAAATAACATTAATAACTGGAAAAACTCTTAATTTCTACGGTTAGATGAAATGCAATTTCTTTGTGTTCTCAAGAAAAATGCTGACTCTTCAAAATTGTACTTTTATTGGACGATAACAAAAGTCTCTAAAAAAAAAACAAGAACATTTCAAATTCAGCTCCTTAAAAACTGTAATCAGCTGAATTTCTTTTCTATCTCTCATGAAGATTAAATTTTATCATTAATTTGTTGGTAATTAAAAGCCAATATTCAAAACAAATGAAGGTTAAGGCTGTGACATTTTTATCATGTTTAAATCGAAATTGATAATTTGGTATTATTGTGAAATTAACAGGATTCGGATGTTGTCTGCTTTTGCTAAAACTTACCTATTGAAATTTCTCGGCGATGGCAGTTTGTTGGATGTGTAGACGTGGACGACGTCGTGTAACCGTTGGTCCTTCCGAAGGTCTGGCTGTTTGCGCTACAGTGCCCATCCCGAACAGCGCCCTCTCTCGGCTGCGACGGGGCACAGGTGATGACAGAGGGCCGGACCTGCTGCGCCTCCTTGCCGCTGCCAGACGGGGTGGGGAGGTGGGTGGGGGACGGGGTGAGGTGCGAGGTGCTGGGGGTGGGGAGGGCAGGATTGACCTCCGGGACGCCCACGTCATTGTCTTCTAACCTCATGGTCGTGATTTCCCTGCAAATAAAAAACAAAATTAAACACTCTTTTAGACTAACATTGAAAACTGTTCAAACTGTTGTGTTAAGTAGTTCTTTTAAGAGAGATTTATGGTGCTATCACAAACTTCCTGTCAAAACCCAGTATGACTGAGTTACTTGAGCCATGCCAATGGGTCGTCAAAGGTGCATCTACAAGAACAGGATTAAATTTCCAATGAAAACATAAAGTTCTCTGCTGTAGATTTTGTTGACCTACTAAAATGCGAAGCATTCACCACCGATGGTTGCGATTAAACCGGTCTCTTGCCCCCTGGCAACACGGCCCCAACAACTGCATGATTAATCGGTCCATTATCAGTCTTTTTGGACCAACGACCTCTTTTACCTTCTCACAAGACAGAAGCTGACAAATTATATGACAGGTGATGGACGCTGTATGAGATTCACGTGTCTGTTCATACTCTCAGCGGGCGAATGGGTAACAAATAGGCCGACAGATTTTTCACATCAAACCACATTCAGCTCAAGAACTACTGCAAGAAGTCATGTTTGATGGGAAACGATACACACAAAATGTGCTGGTTAAGCAGAATGCCTGCATTCTCAAAAGCCTCAACTCTACTGCAGGCCTAGTTGTTACTTCGGTTTTTTAATTTTTTGATGCGACGAACCTCTTTGCGGAAACTCTGACTGGGTGTAAACAGTTTCTGAGCACACCGAAATGCTTTTTTGCAGTTATCAACAGGCATGCAACTGGCAATTTAGAAAAAACGAGGAAACTCCAAACCAAACAAGACTTTGTACAGTATTTTTTAATTTGGAATGGCATTCATGAGAAATAAAACACAAGGAAATCAGTGGATCTGAGGAAAAGTTGCATGCATGTATCAAGCCGGACTCAATGACTTAACATATTGCATAAGAAGTTTAACAAAACCTTATCCCAACCCTTTCTCAACCCATTTAATATTAGAACTTTCCACTGTCACAGTAAAAGAGAAACAGAAGACAGATCCATAACAAGTAAAGACTTTATTTCCAGAACGTGATATATCCATTTGAGAAAAAAAAAAATTGAAACTTTAAGAATGAAAAAAAGTATAACAGCTGTTTCTAAACTTAATTCTTCACTTTGCTGTATTCTTAAATTGCATTGATCTACATTACAGCTGTCAAAACCGACTTTGGGCAACCAGGACAGCGCCCGGGATTCTACAAGGTTACAAAATGTACAAACTGAAGTTTATCGCATTTTGAAACAAACTCTTCATGTACTTTTGCGACCGAAATGGAAAACAACAAAGGGTGTCCAATACCATTCAAATTCAAAACTGACCACCATGACAACTCTTTCTGGAAATAAAGACCATTCCACATGGAAGTCCCGAGGCATAACCATATAAACTTTGACGCAGTGTGCCACCACATGTTCAAGCCGGCCTGGATGGTATGCAGAGACGTCATATCTCATTTCACGGCCCTTCTACAAAGCTCTCCCAACAGAATGCCTTCACAAAGTAGAATTTCAGTTGACCATGAATCAACTTGGCTGACGGGAACACACTCAATTGAAAATCTCAACCCCCCCCCCCCCCCTTCACCAGAGAGTTGCAAGTTGTTATTCCACGGACCGCCGTGTCCACCAATGATTCAAATTTTTCCATTCTGGCAGAGTCTGAAATATGACCGTGGTATGAGGGGCCTGGCCATTAGTGCATAGCTGGCATAGCTCGCCGCCTAGAACTTGTTGATACGTGACGGGCGTGCAGTTTGGAGTAGATGTCGCCGTCGAGGTAACTCCAGCCCTCCATCGAGAGAAGAATTTGTTACAAATATTTACACCCAGCGAATCCTTTTTCAGATCCTGGAGTTAATGTGTAACTCCTTAATAATTTGATCATTGTTTGCACTCCACAGGGATTCTCATTGAGAAATTTAAAAAAAAATTGTTTTGAATAAATGAACAAGTATGGATGAAATCAAAGATGCGGCTTTCAAGCTTTATATTACAGTTTATCTGCAGAATTTCAAGCAGACCCAGGTGAAAAAGTAGGAGAACAGTAGGATCAAACAATTTTTTTGGAAATTGACAAAAGTTTGATTTTGGAGAACAAAATCAGTATAAAAGTAGGACTTTTGCTGGCTTTCTATTGGAACTCACTCATGTCCACAGCATCATAAGCCTTATTTGGCATGTTCTGTACTCACAACACTTGTGCTCCATCCTCAACTAAGCTCTTGGAAGTACATTTGCAGTACTCCTGAGATTTCATTTTTCAGAGTCGAGAGACAAAAAAGTAGGAAAAGTAGGAAAAATAGGAAAAATAGGAAAAGTAGGAATTTAAAGAAAAGAAAGTATACACTGTAGGAAAAGTAGGAATACTTGAAAGCCTGAAATTGGTAACTGCATAATTGCAAACGCCTTGTTCATATTTACCAACTCGGTATTAGCTGAAACATTACTTTTGTTTCAAAAGCAAGCAAATGTGTGTCATGTGTTTTTGCACAAATACCCATGGTTTTCTGTGAGAATTTTTTTTTAAGACATTCTTCAGTCAACTGCAGGTAAGTGTGCATGGATCTAAAATGTAGTACATGTAAATATAGGCAAGCTTCTAAAAACCTTTTTTCCCCTAGTCAATATGTTTAAAACGTGGAGTATACACATATAATGGATAAGTCATCTCCAAGAATGCATCATAAAAAAAAAAATACTTTGCTTTACTCCAATGCCTCACAGCCAATACTCCTGTTCATGATGGGGTCTACCCGATGTTCCCCAATACCAACATGTATGTTCCCCAATACCCATGTTCCCCAAACTGGCTGGAATCGACATGATACCATCATTTATACATCTGACATTTTTGCAATTTGTTGACGGGCAAGAAAATATAAAAAAAAAAGGAATACCATGAATTTGAAACAAAAAAATCTTTGCAATTGCAAGTACACGTACTGTACTGTAAAGATAAAAAAATACTATAGTTGCCAACACACAAATGAAAAAGAGAAGAAAAAAAGGCAGAATTTATGGGTGCTATATCATGTCTAATCATGAACCAGGAGGAATTCTTATGCCCGCCCTTATCTCCTTATTGATATCACATAAAACATACCACTCCACTTCTTCAAACAAAGATATCGCACAAATATGCCAGGCTTGCCAGCCAAATATTTAGTCTTCAATTAAACAAGATAGCGGGAGTGGAGGGCCATCCTACTAGGCTGGTAGGGTTCTGCATTGGGAAAACAGTTCCTGACAAACATGACGATACAAGGGGCATCAATTGCCACATGTGTGTCCACAAATGTAGACAGAATGTTCATCTTGTGTGATTCTTTGTGATGTTGGGAATAATTGTTCATGTATGTTTAAAGGGAAGATACAACATTGGCAAACACAAAAAAATGAAATGATCACATTATCACGAAATACCTTACGGAATCGTTAGGGAATGACAGTCTAAAGCATCCTGTAAAATTGTGGCTACTGGTGTGCTGACATTTTTGAGAAAAAGTGTATTTTTTCAACGCTGGTCGGCTGACCAGCATTGGAAAAAACTGGCTTTTTTCAAAAACTGTTCCTAATTTTCATATCGCATTTTCTTTGCATTTAATTACTCACCTGTGAAGGGGTACAAGCCTGCTAGACTGATTCTTTGACCTTACATTTCCCAAAAGTCTAATAATTGCTCCGTTTCATTTTAAGTGGGGTCAGGGAACCAGACTACAAGAACATGATGGGTTTTCTTGGTTTTTCCATCATCTACAAGCCCAAAATGTGAAACAAGTCAGTTTAACAATATTTGCTATTACATACTAATCCTTCAAATCCATTGATTTCTGAAAATTGCAGCAAAAGCAAATGTTGTACATTCCCTTTATCCCTAACCTTTACCAAGTCCATCAAAATCCATCCCCTCATTTTGGGGGATTTTGTCAGATAGGCCATGTGCACCAAGTCCATCAAAATCCACCAGCACCACAGATTTGGTCCTGAAGAATTATGTGAAGCAGAGGGAGTGATGGATTTTGACAGGCATGGTCTCCTACTTAATCAACCAAAGTAGGGAGTTAGGGTTAACCATAAAAATAACAACTTTGATGTCATCATGAAATCAGCAATCGATTTGTACCAAAAAATTCTCAACATATATTTTAATTTTTTGTTTTAGTGGGTGATGCCACAAAAGGCAGAATGCATCTGTTGTCCGAAAGGACTCTTGACATGGGACAAAAAATCTAGGAAGGAGATAACTTAGAGATCGAGCTTATTGATGAAGCTCTTGAGAGGATGATGGAAAGTACGATTGTGGTAGAGAGTTCCACAATTTGGATGTGAGGACAATGAAGGATGATGAGTGCGATACAGTGCGGGACTTAGGTATTGAGACTGTAAAAGGGTGAGCATTGGTGGCAGATCTCGTAGAATAAATAATGCGTGAGATTTGGGCATGATAGATTTTATGCACTTATCATTTTGGTATACAATTTTGTAATGTTACTCCATTCTCTTTCCTGCTGAATTGAAGAAAAAAAATTGGACCTACACGTACATGAAGGTTTTATTTCACAAACACTTTACCTGACATACCAGTGCAGTGCGTTAAACGACATTACATGTAGTGGTGGGATTTAAATCTGGATTTTTAATAATTTGGTTTGAATTCCACTATTCGGTTATGATTTTTGGAAACCGGATACTCGAAAGCACCCTTCACAAATGAAGCCTTCCATTTTTTTGTGACACAGGCTAAAGAAAACAACCGGAACATCCTCTAATTTGTTCCATAATCTCCGATGGTAACTGCATTCACTTGCTAGTGGTATTCTTGGCTCATGAATAGCCTGCCCATTCGACTTATTTTCAACGTTACAGCTCTGAAGTGTTTTTGTGCAGGCCCAGTGGTCACTGAATCCTGCAAACTATACCCAGTCATTGGGAGGGCATTTCATGCGGCACCTCACTCGTCATTTCTGTTGGCATGATTGCAAGCTGGATGAGAACGCCTGATGAAACCATTATTCGGTTTTAAAAAATAATGGGATAAACAGATTTTGAAATCTTTGATTTCTCCCACCACCAGTTAAATGCATATGCAATCTGTTCAAATTTCATCCAATATCAAATACTAACGTTTGCGTTCCGGCGCACCGTGTGGATACCGCTGCCGCCGTCGTGTCCATCATGCTTGCCGCAGCCGTCCTGCTGCCCACATTGCGCAGCTCGTCAAACCGCAGGACCTGGGCTAGCTCTCGTCTCTCAGTGCTGCGTCGCTGTCTGTTGACGCGGGACGGCAGCTCCTTGGAGGCTTCCGATCTGAGATCTTCGCTCCGTAGCACCGCATTACCTGAGTAAAGAGACAAATGAATAAAGGCATGAATAAACAAAACTTGTGATTCTAATTCTTTTAGATTAAAAAAAAAAAAACCTGGCGGTTTGGACAAATGAGGAGGGAGAAGGCAAAACACTTTTGCATGGAGCTCAATATCCCATAACCCCAACTCCCTAGGTATTTTGCTAGGATGTAACCTCAATCCTGCAAAATCCTCCAATTGCCTTTCATGTAAAAAATTGCATACAGCCTCAATCCTGCAAAATCCTCAGGTAAAACCTCAGGAATTCCAGATTTCAAAAGGGATTCTGTAAAAATCCTGGAATAAGGAACAATCCTGCAAAAATAGCCACCTGACAAGTGACAACCAATGTTTTAATACAGGTTCACGTAATAGCCCCAAAAGAAAATAATGTGTGCCACGCAAGAAACTGGCTCTGTCATGAGAAGACTGAGACAGAAACACTGATGTAGACAAACTTCCTACGTGCTAACAAATCAGCTAACAATTTTATTATGTAAAATTAACACAACCCAAAGACAGAAAGTCAGCCATGGTGAAAGTTTCATTCGTGACTTCGAGTCAAATCATGGGTTGTGAAGGGAAGGGACAAACTGGCACCTTACAATTACCCTTTAACTTAAAAAAACCCGACATAACCCCTACATTCCATCAGTGATCCACCAAATCCTCCAACTCCAGCTCATATCACTCAAACTTTTTGAGGGATCAGTGGCACTGATCTGTTAGCCCTTGTTAAGCCTTTTTGAGTAAATAATGGGCTTCAAAGGCCTGTAAGCAACAGCATTTTTAAATGGAATATGTGAACTGCACATTTCTCTGTCAATTGTTTTTTATTCATTTCAGCCTTTGCATTCCCATTTCTAAGGCAGTTCCAAGACCAAATTCTCTAAATTGTATGCTTAGGTAAAAGAAAAATACTTCTGCTTCCGATTACATGTACGTAGCATTTGAAAATAGAGTAAGTAGGTAGAGAAAAAAAAAATTTCGCAAATTTTTTGTGTACAATCGTACGGAGGTGTCTGTAGTCAAGGGCAAAAGGTGGAAATTGATGATTTTCGGGGTTTTTCAACATTTTTCCCCCCAAAGATAGGGTAGGGGCCGTCAAAATAGGGTAGGTATGGTAACTGGAAGCAGAACTTTTTTTTTTTTGGCCTTATTATTTCATGCAAAAAATGAAGGATGCAACTTATCGTTTCACTTTGTAATAGCTTAGCAAATATTTTAAGAACCGTTCAAACGTGTAGCAATTCACAAAGGCTGGCGCGTGATTGACATTCGACATGATAAATCAACAATGAATGACATAATAAAGTAGCGGGCAGTCATTGAAAAATTAAAACCTAACTACGTGTACCCTGAATGTAATCAAATACTGTGGTGCTTCTAAGGTTTTGTAAATTAAACAGGTTTGAAAACGTCGTTAATTTGTTGTGCTACATGTATGTATGTTTAAATCACAGGAAGATTGCGTGAACATACAACTGTAGGTCCCTTTTATATTTCGGGTTTTGTTTAAACGTCTTGGAAAATTTGTAAATGGGTTTAGAGTTCTTTCCGTTTAAACGTTTAAATGTGTAAAAGTCACATCCTTTAATGCAAGTTTTCATATTTCAGGGCATAACAGTGACACAGGAGCTTCAGGGCGGCTAAAGAATGAAATTTTTGCCATGGAATTAGTTTCGGTGGTAAAATCTAAAGGTATTTCAATTTCGTTGTTGATTTAGAACACAGCAGCCACAAAATTTCTAAACTGCTTATTAAAGTGAGTGCTGTAAAAAAAAAGTTAAGTACTCCAAAAAAAGGTGGCTCAATGTTTTCCTAAATGTTATGGAATTTTTTTTTTTTCACAAAATATGTTCGAAGTGTGAATTTCATTTTATGGCTTGTTAAAATATCAATATTTGTCTATTGTCCTTGTATCTGTATCCGCCCAATGTATTCATCTACATATTGTATGTACCTTTACATGTATGTACATGTACAGGCTCGCCTTGAACTATAGAAACAGACACAATCATGTACATGTATATTTGCACACCATGACTCATCTAACATTTGTTCTTTTGTTTCTTTATTTTTGTAAGATTTTTTTTTGTGGGGGGGGGGGGATTCTGGATTGTCATTTCAATGCCCACAAGAGACCACTCGACTGTGAAGAAATTGGAAATTAATCTCTTTGCGAACTTTGGCTGAACTTGCAAGTCTCCTGGTTCAGACACTGATTAAACTTCAACCCACATATTTGAAATGGCATTAAGATGAGCTGTGGCTTATTTCCAGCCAGAAGTTGTCATCGGAAATGCATGGAGGCAACACGAAAGGCTGATTTATCCATTCAATCCCCTAAATAATATCAGCAATTCTTTATAATGTATCTTCTAGAGGTAGGTTGACCAGGAGCATGGTTTTAAACCACTTGTATCCAGTGTATAAATCTAAAACTATTTTCATGAAGTTAAGAAGATTGTCAGAAACATTTGGAATTTCACACACAACTGCAAGATATCTTACTTCTGGACAGTTTTCCTTACATTGTTCAGTTCAAGGCTGTGTCATTTGTTGTCTATATGGATGTGGATTTTTGTTTGTTCCAATGTCATAAACTCACGCCATAAACAGAAATAACTATAAAATTTGTCTTTTTTCCCTTTAAATCAACATTTATGTCAGCATCCAGTGTGAGAAAAAGTAACAATTGCCACCTTTCCTCTCACACCAAATTCAGTTGCAGATGCCTCAAATTTAGCTATGTGTACCAAATTTCCAAGTTAGGCTTGAAAGAAAAACACTTCTTTGTGGGTGATTTTTTTCTCTCTCCAAGTTATAAGGAATCGCATCCTTCTTAATCTATTTAGTGGCTTGGTCAGCGGATTCCTCCCCCGCAGGCCAGGCAACCCATCAGGCCACAAACCAGGTGCCTCTTGCCCAGCCAGCTGTACGCGTACCCACCACTGCAAGATATTACTCACAAAGACACCAGGAGTGATCGAGAACTAGTCCCGGGCAATTTCCCACGCCACGGCGAGAGCAGCCCTGCTATGCTCGCTATGCCGGGTATGGTGAGCTTAACATGCTTCAGGATTGATTTGATTGCTTAAGACCACTCCTTCTGCTGGGGCACAAGTGCTTGGCAGCAGGCAGGGGAGTGGAACGGACAGTCCACTTGAGGTACAAATGTATGTGTGCTGACTGCACAGCCGCACTCTTAAGTTAAAGGCTGGGAAATGTTCAGCCAAATATTTTTTTAAAGATACTGGATGAAATGACCGATGAATGATGTCCAAACCTTTTTCAAAGACTTTTGTCAAACCTTCCCTAAAAATATAGACAGACCTTTGCTTTAACAAAATGATGTCAATATGTTAACAAATATGAAAATAGGAGGTTTTTTCTCAATATATTGTGTCTGCTGATTGTATTAAAAATCAACATCAATTGAGTAACTCAGTCAGAATTATAGCCAACTGTTGAATCTTTCTTTAGACTGTGACTGAATTTCATCACAATATTGACTTTTAGCCTCTCGAAATATGCTCAAATACCTAAACTGATAGTTAACCAAGCCATTTAATCAGATGTGAAATATAACAAAGGCACTTAAAATAGCTTTGCTGTCAAACTGGAAAAAAAATCCTAAAAACAGAAACAATGTTGCTCTCTCAAGAGGAAAAATAACCTATTTGACCCACACCAGCAATATGTTTGTACACAAAGGAATGATAAACCAAGCCTAGTCTCAAGTTTGCTGGTAACTTTTAAAAGGAGAATAATAGATCCACTTATCACAGCAGTGTCAACCACAACATCTTGCTAAGCCTAACTCTGGTACAGATGATAACTATTGAAGGCACTTGTGTATCACATACATGTGTAAGATAACCTAGCCACTCAAAAAAAAGGGGGCTGACTGCAGAAATAACTACATGTAGCTTCTACCAACAACTTGCTAAATCAGGAAATCTCTCACAAAAGCAGGCTGCCATTACTCAAAAAAAGAGACCCACATCCGGCTGTCACCAAAATGCAGACATGTAGAACTAAAAATTACATACATCCAAGATATAACACTTTCCTAACACTTTTTCTAAAGATAAACATGTGATCAAATTTTGAGAAGAAAAGAAATTTGGAAGATCATTTGTTCACAACAGTAAGTCAGATATATGAGAATCCAAAACACACGCACTTCCCCCTCCCAAAAAAGATGGGAAAGTTATAGGGAAAAAAATGTGAAGAATGTCTTCCGATATAGCATGCTGAGGGCAGAAAGCAAACTTCCGATCATAAAACATTGATCTTAAACGAATCCCCTCCTTTTTTCCACACTGGATTCCTGACAAAATAATCACAAACTTTCCGGTGCAAGGCTGTGGGAACAATTGAATGAGGATTAACCCGCCTAGTCCAGGCTGCTCAGCGATACTCTGCAGGGTGAGAGGGCACCCTGTAGTTTTAGCCCGCAAATTTGAGGATGTTTCACTGATTAGCAAGCTGTGAATTTTGCAAAGATCAAATGAAGTCGCTGCTTGGCTCTTTGCCAGGATGAGAGATCCACCTCATCAAAACCAAACATGTCCATAAAAGTTACCAGAACAGTGTTTAGAAAGAAAAAAGATTGAAAAAAAATTAGAGGGGCAAATGTTTCGGTTCTTGCAGGACCTTTCTCAAAGGCAATATAATGGCAGAAGTACAGAACAAAGTACCATAGGGACACACAAGCAGGCATGGGTGGAAGGGAAAAAACACATAGGGATAGGAGGGATAGGAGGGATTAGGCAGGGGGAAGGACCTACATGTAAGGAGTGTGGCAGAATATACTAAGTAAGATCAAAGGGGATGAAAAGAGGGGATGGGGCAAGGCAAGGAAAACAGGAGTGTGTCAATGGATTATAGTACATGTACATTAGATAAAAAAGGGGGTAATAGGAGGTGATAATTAGGCAGGGGGGAGGAACAAAGAAGGGTGACCAAAAAAATCGATGTGGGATGC